AAAATTTTATAAAAAATATTCTTTAAAAAAAGGTTGATCGTCGTCGACATATGGAAACACATCATTCAACATATTTAAGAAGAACAACAATACCTTTAATAGAAACTAATAGTTGTAGTATTAGACCAAATGATTTGAGGAAAAATATTACAAAATCTCCAAAAATTGAATTAATTAATAATTTAAATGAGGAAATTAATAATAATTCTGAAGGTACTTAAAAAGATTTTTAAATATCTATGTAGATTTTCATAAAATACAACATAATAATCTTCGTTTAGTTAAGGGAATTTTAATCAGTTTTAATAAATTATCATGCGAAAAATAAGGTGAAAACGAGAACCAAGGCATGGGGGATACCGTATTTACTCGATTAATTCCCCTGGGGAATTATTTTTTCAACCTATCCGTGGCATGAGGAATTATTCAAGGGAGGGGAATTATTCGAGTTTTAAAATTTGAACGTGTAGCAGGGTATTTGGGGGAGGGGGATTATTGTTTCAACTAATCCGTAGCAGGGGGGATTATTCAAGGGAGGCGAATTAACCGAGTAAATACGGAAACCATTAAAATTTAAATTTATTTTAAATTAGTTAATTATCAAAGTATTCATAACTTTCCATAATTTTCCTAAAATAATCAAATTTAATTTATTAGTAGATATAAACAATATAAATAATAATTTAAATGTATCAGAAAGTCCAACAAATATTTTAAATAATTTCGAACTTGCCCAATTATTTGCTACATTATCTTCAGCTACAGCTTCAATTCATGAAAGTTCTGATGAATTTGACGAAGGAAATAATGATAATAATAAAGTGGAAAATGAAAAAGATTTAATTGAAGAAAATAAAAATAATGTAAAAAATACAGAAAATATATTATTTACAAATTAATGTGAAAAGAAATTATTTTACTTTTTTTGTGCAATTTCATTAAAAAATTATAATTAAAGTAAGAACGCTCGGTTTACTCAGAGATCCGAGGATCTCGAAAATCAACATAAAACACAGGTAGGGAGGGCTATCATATATTAACTTCCCCCACTAACAGACCAACCCTCTCCCGTTCTCGGAACAACTTCCTCCAATGTCGGAACAACCTTCACCGTTGCTGAAACAACTTTTCTCATTGTTGGAACGATCTTCCACATTGTTGAAATTATTTTCCCGTAATGCGCAAAACCTTATTGCAGTATTTTATTAATAATTCGAAGGATCGGTGAACGCAAAGGGTGGTTTTGATCGATCACCAAGGTCAGATCAATCACAATCAGGTTGATCACTCGATGTCAAATGATCCCTCTCACGGTTGATCACTTGATGATAACACGATTAATCACTCTATCCCTCTGTGTAGTTTTGGGTTTGCGCCGTTTTGGCCGTGCGCCGATTTGGCCCGCGCTGTTTTGGGTGCGCCAGACCGTTCTGCGCCAGACTGGCCGCGCCTCCCTTTGTTTTTAAAATTTGTTGGGAAGTTAAAAACTTGTTGGTTTTGAGAGTTTTTGTGTAACTTTTTTACTAATAATTTAATAAAATAATATGCATTTAATGCATACTTTTCTTATATTTTTTGTATTAAATATTGCAGTTTCTGCAATATTTAACACTTTTTTGTTTTATGATCAAGATAAATAAATCAAGAGCTTTAAATTTAATCTTTCGCCGAATGTCTACCAAAAAGAAAACGCAGGATCCATCTCTTCCAGCAGAATATTTTCGAATGAGACAAGAAATGGTCCAAAGTCGTAGAGCCGCTGGTGAAAATCCTTTTCCGCATAAATTTGATGTTGGCATTTCTCTGGCTAATTTTATTGAAAAATATGACTCTGTTTTGACTGAACGAGGAAAAGTACTTGAAGATGAAACTGTTAGGGTTGCAGGTTTATTTTTTGTGTTTTTTAAGTTCTCTAATAAATTTTATTTTTTCAGGCCGTGTTTATCTTAAACGTGAGCAAGGCTCTAAATTAATTTTTTATGATCTACATGGAGAATGCAAAAAAATTCAAATTTTGGCTAATGCAAAGTTTTTTTATTTTTATAAATTTAAGAAAATTTTTTTGAAGATTCCATTCTGCCGGAATTGATGATTTTCTTTCTTCTCATGATAAAATTAAACGTGGTGATATTATTGGTGTTGAAGGTCATCCTTCTCGTTCAAATTCTGGCGAGCTCAGTGTTATTCCAACTTCTGTTCAATTGCTAACGCCTTGCTTTAGAATGCTTCCGGTATTTTTTATTTTTTGATCTAAATGAGAATTTCCCCTATTACTTTGCCTTTTGTGATAAAATTCAAGTTCGTTCCCCATTCTTTTTCTTTTTTCAAATTATAAAAAATGTCAGTCAGTCTTAGGGTAAAGAACTCGTCGAGCTGTGTTGACTTGATTTGACCGAGATACAGACCCCTGAAAATTGAACAACCATAGGGGCGAAAAACCATGGGGACGAAAATTTATACAAATGATAGACTGACTAACCATTTTTTAATAATTTGAAGAAAGAAAAGGGAGGGGGGAACGAACTTGAATTTTACCCCTTTTGTATTTTTTCGAGCTATTTTTATTTTTCACATCCTTATTTTAATCTTTTCAATTTCCTTCCTAATTTTTCCCTCTTTATTTCGGACTTAACACAATTTTATTTTTAGAGAACACATTTTGGCGTCAAAAATTTGGAAGTTCGGTTGGTTTTTCTTCATTAATCTTTCTAACTTTTTCTAAAATAACAATAAATTTTATTTTCCAGTTATCGAATGCGTTATCTTGACCTTATTGCAAATCCACATGTTCGCGATAAATTTGTTATTCGTGCCAAAATAATTACTTTCTTGAGAAATTATTTGGATGCTTTGGGATTTTTAGAAGTAGAAACGCCTTTGATGAATCCAATTGCCGGTGGGGCAACAGCTAAACCTTTTGTTACTTACCACAATGATTTGGAGATGAGTCTTTATTTGAGAGTAGCGCCTGAGCTTTATCATAAGGTTTTAATTTTTATTAAATACACCCGACCTTTAAAATTTAATTTGGAAAAAAGGAAAATTTTTTAGATTTTACCCAACTTTAACTTAATCGTTTGATAAAATATTTCATTGGGTATCGAAATTTTTTTAAAAATATCACTAAATTTTTATTTATTTTTTGACAGTCTAAATATGCGTAAATATTTAAAGGTTGGAAAATATTTCTAATTTTAAGATGTTGGTTGTTGGAGGTATTGATCGAGTTTACGAAATTGGACGTCTTTTCCGTAACGAATGTATTGATCAAACCCATAATCCTGAATTTACTTCTTGTGAGTTTTATATGGCATATGCTGATTATGAGGATTTAATGAAGTTGACTGAGGACTTGTTGTCTAGTGAGAAACTTCTGAAAAATTTATAAATAATTTAATCTCTATTACTTACAGAAATGGTTTTTAGTCTTCATGGCACCTATAAAATTCAATATCACCCAAATGGACCTGACACAGTGCCTGTATATCAAGTCGACTTTACTCCACCATTTAAACGTACTATTTTTAATTTAATTTTTAATCGTTTTTTTAACAGGAGTTAATATGTATGAAGAACTCGGCAAAGTTCTCGGAATGACTCTTCCAACACCTGATCAACTTTCAACGCCTGGTAATTTTATATATCAAATTTTTAATTCTGAAAATTTTTGTCTATCTATTATTTTCCTTAATTTAACTTTTTAGAAGCTCGTGATGTCTTTGATAAGATTTGTGTAGAAAAAGGAGTCGATTGTTCAGCACCACGTACAACTGGACGTCTATTAGATAAACTTATTGGAGAATTTATTGAATCGCAGTGTATTAATCCTACATTTCTTGTTGGTCATCCACAAATTATGTGTCCTCTGGCAAAATGGCATCGTTCAATTCCCGGGCTTACAGAACGTTTTGGTAAATTAAAAAATTATTTTTTTAAAATATCCTCCTATTTTAAGAGTTTCTTATAGACTTTAGATATTTTAAACATAATTTAAACAGAGCACAATAAGACATCCTTAATAACAAAGCGATTAGTTACCCATTGTTTTATCGCTTTGGTTAAGTCACTGATATGAATTTAATTCTGTTAAATTTTCATAATTAAATCTTTTTAGAACTTTTTGCTGTCACCAAAGAATTGTGCAATTCCTATACTGAATTGAATGACCCAATTACTCAACGAGAACTTTTTGAACAACAGGCGAAATTTAAAGCTGATGGAGATGAAGAAGCTCAATTAGTTGATGAAAATTTCTGTACGGCATTGGAATATGGATTACCACCAACCGCTGGTTGGGGACTTGGCCTTGATCGATTAGCGATGCTTTTAACTGATAGTCACAATATTAAGGAGGTAAAGAAATTATTATTTTTTACTTAAAATGTCTTAGGATTTCACCATGACTTCAATTAAATCCTAGGATTCTTTTAAAGGACCACAATCAAAAAATCCAATCTTTTTCTAATTTATACTTCTGAAAGGATTCAACCCAATTTTAAAGGTTCTTTTCTTCCCTGCAATGCGTCCAGATCCTCGTGGTTTGATTCATGATGACGAAGAAGGTGAAGAAGAGCAGAAGAATGAAAAAGAACAGGAGAAAGTTGTTAAAAAAGTTAAAAAAGGAGGAAACAAAGCTGCGAAAGCTACTGCTGCTGAAAATGGAAGTAAAGCAGAAGAAATTAATTGACAAGTTTTAAAAAGTAATTTTGAGAAGAAAGGATATTTTAGGGGAATGATTTAATGCTTTTAAAAGTACGAATTTTGTGCAAATCACACACTGTTGTTTCATTTGTTTTTACTCATTTTTGTGTGTATTTGTATTTTCTTGTTTTGTTGATAATTTTTAAACAAATTTACAAATAGTATATTTTACTTGCACGTATAGCCTAAGAATTTGAGCCGTATTAAGTAAGCCACATCAATTCCACATTAAGTATAATGAATTTAGTTTTTATATTTATAACAAAATCATCTAATCAAAACTCCCTACTATAAACAAACTAGGCAATAGCATTAACTGATTCCAATAAAGATCCTGTCTTTTTCTCTTTTTCCTCAAACTTTTGAAGAGATTTATTTAACGGTCGATTATTCGGATCAAACGGCGAAGGAAGTTTTAAATCGGATCCGGATTCAAAGAATGTGTATGATAGCTGTAAAATTATTTAAAAATTAGATATAAAATTATTAGTAAAAACCAATAAATTGGTAACATCCTCCAACAAAGGATCGTTGACAAAATCTGGATCAATGTAGAAAAACACTGGCAAATCAACTTCCTCTCCGGGATTGAGGATTTGTTCATCAAAACAAAAACATTGAATCTTTAATATTTTTAACATATTCTAAAAATATTAAAGTTAAAAACCTTATTAAAATAATATGCAGCCTGGAACGGTGATAAATTGTATGTACTAATTCCAACAATTGGCTTATTTGTTGGATTATAGGCTTTAAAAAGTTAAAATAAAATTGAAAAACATTTTATAAATTTACCAGTAAAGAATGCAAGTGCCGTCTCTCCCGGACTAACATAAATTTCATCTTGAAGTGGTTTAAATTTCCATTGCATTGAAGAGGGGACATCCTATGAAATTATTTTTTAGTTTATTTTTTATAAAAATTATTACAGCATTAAATTGGACACGAATTAGACAATCATCCACTTTTTCCATAGTAGCAATTTTATTAAGATTTCTAGCTATCTATAAATTAAAAATAAATTTTTTTTCAAATATTAAAACAAAATTTATTTACTTGTGCAACCCCATTAAAAGAAGTCGTTTCGCAAAGAATACGAAAAAATGGAATAAACGCAAAAGACAATCCAAGCATTATTACAGCAATTCTTTAAAATTAATTAAAATACCTAAAAATGTTTAAATAAACAAACCCTGAAATATAATAAACAGCTGTTGAGTCAGATTCGAATTTTGATAAAAATCGTTGAACCCAACTAGGTTGTTTTGGAGACGAAGAAAAATAGGCATTATTTTGTTGAAAATTTATTTTGAAAAAATTATTGTTTGGCCTCCGCAAAATAAATAAATTTGGCTTGAATGAAGATGTTGAAATAAACTTAAAAAATAAATTTTTGATATTTTTTAAACATAATTAAGATTAAAAATAAATTTAAAATTAAATTAAAAATATGTATTTACCTTAATTTGCTGAAGAAAAGTAAATTTATTGCCTGTTCCTAAATAACATCTAAACAGAGATGAGGGCATAACCCCTTTCAGAAATAAAATTTTTGTGGGAAACATACATAAAATCTAGATTTATTTTAAAAAAATTTTCTTTAATATTTTTAAAGATTATTTTTGTTTTTAACAAAATAAGCTTTATAATAAAAAAAATTTTTTATTAAAAATTTTAACTAAATAATAAAAGAAAAAAATATACAAAAATATAAATTTTTTTAATTAAAAGATTTTATTCGTTCAATTGCCCTTTGAACTAACCAACTTGGATGAGCTTTTGTATCAGAAATTTCAAAAGAAAAACTCAATTCAGGCTCTAGTTGTTTCGAAAGATTGCAAAATAATAGTGGATCTATTGTTTTGTTGAGGAAAGGAAGTACTGGAAATATTAAAAAATTTGTTGGATTTTTAAAGAATTTAATTAATTTTAAATTAATAATTTGAACAAATAAATATTATTTTTAAAAATTAAAATATCAAAAGACAACCTCTACCTTCATTAAATTGCAAAATAAACGAGTCCAAGAGATTTTTGAGACGATTTGTATGGGTTTTAAGTATAAAAATATCATCTTCAATAAATTGATAATTAAATGTATTTGGTGGGAAATTGTTTAATTTTGAATGAATAAATAATAATTTAGAGGAATAAATATTTAAATGCTCTAAAATATTGTTGGCTTTTTGATGAAGTTTTGCCTGAAATTAATTTTTAAATTTTATAACTTTAATTTTTAAAATTATTAAACCTTAACTCTATTTAATATATCTGGATGTTCTCTAAAAGTAATTGAATCGTTTAATAAAACTTCTTTAGCCTTTTCAACAGAATTAAATTGTTTTAATAATTCTCGCAATTTAACAAGATTGTTGGCTAATTTTGAATGAATTTGTGTTAAAAATTTAATTTCATCAATTAAAGATGGAGTAAATAAATTGTTGAAATTTGATGAAATACGAGAACTTCCATTCATTATTTTAACGAAAAATTAATAAAAATTAAATTTAAGATATCAAGAATTTTTAATTAATTTAAATAATATTTTAATATTTATAAACAATTAAAACAAATATATTAAATATTTATTGAGTTTTTAAATGGTCAAAAAATTTAATTTAATTATAGCAGTTCTAAAAAATATTTATTTTTTCAGAAAGTTTAGATAAATTTAATTAAAATATTTTTAAAAATTCTTCAAGAATTTACACTACAAAATTATTTTTAAAAACTCCAAAACAGCACAAGACAAAATTCAAAAATATTTTTTAGATGCCTCGATTAAATTAAAATAATGGCAAAAAATACTTATATAATCAAAGAAAAAAAGTCAAATTGGGAGAAAAACAAAAATAAAATGTTTTAATATCCTGATATATAGTTCAAAAATTTGTTTGCTTATCAACCAGTTGTAACCATTGTATAGATCATTCTAAAAAAAATTTTTGGTATTAAAAAATAAATTAAAGAGCAAAATTTAATTATAAATAATTTTGGACAAAATTTATGGAAAAACTAAAATGTACATAATTTTGATAAAGAAATACTCCAAAAAATTTTCTGGCCGACAAAAGAAAGTTATTTTGTTAAATTGCCAAATAATAATTTTGCAAAAAATTAAAAACATACGCATAGAGATAATAGAAAAACGAAAGCAAATAAAAGCCCATTTTAACCCAACCTTCTCTATTTATTTTTGACAATTGATCGTGATTCCTATAAAATAAAAAGATAAAATTTAAAAATCTAAAAAAACATTATTGTTGTCGGGTCATAAATTCCAGGTCCACGCATTATTGGTCGCTTAATATAACTAAAAAATTATTAAAATACTTGTTTGGAAGTTAACTTAAAATACCGGTGGATGTGGTAGGCAAACAAAGGAAGATTCCAAACGATAGCAAAAAGTTGCATTGAAAGAACGAAAAAGAAAAATACAAAGGAGTGAATGCCATATTCTGGCAAGACAAGCTTTAAGAGAAAAATATTTTAAAAATTAGTCTACATATTTAGAAAAAACCTGGTTCATACTACGACATTGATCTATTGGATTTTTGTAATCCGTTCTTAATTCGTCAATACAAATAACCTAAAAATAAGTATGAAATAAAAATTTATTAAATTTAAAACCGTATAGATTGCGAAGAAAATGCAGAAAGCAATTGCAATTAATCCAAACAGATAACAGAAAGCAGCGAATGTAAAAGCCATTCTTGTTTAGAAAAATAATTTTCGAACTAATGTAGAAGTTACTTAAAAAATAAATGAATTATTACGGTAAAGCTCAATTTAGAATAGGCCGATTTAGAGTTTCCTGGTTTCCGAGCGATTCAAATTTTTGGCTACTTCGCGACAAAGCGTCCATGTCCCGAAATTTTGGCCTAGCGTACATTTGCGTTTTTTTGAAACTGGCTCTTGCGCGCACCTCCAATCGGCAAAGTGTGCGCGCCCCCTAGGCGAAAACTACTTACAATTAGGCCGCGATTCGAGGCGGGCGCAAGATCGACAACTCTCTTATGAAATTTATAACAAAAATTGATAATGAAATAGTTATTGAAACATTTTAATGAATTGCGAAATCAAATTTAAAAGATAACTTAGGCCTTAGTGTGCGCGGATAGAGGTATCTTTTGAATTTGATTTCGCAATTCATTAGAATGTTTAATATTTTAAATTTGGTTCCGTAACTCATTAAAATGTTTCAATAACTATTTCATTATCAATTTTTGTTATAAATTTCATAAGAGAGTTGCGATTAAATTGATATGAATCATTTTTATTATTTATTCTCGCACCCTTCTTTTAAAATATTTTTTTACATTTGACTAACTTAAATCAAGATACAAAGTCCATTCATTTAAAATTTTAACAACTTAAATTTCAGTTTTTATATACCTATTTACAATATCACAGACAATGGTTCGTGTTCATTCAGACAAAAGTGATTCAGAAAAAAGCGATATAATTGAATCTTCTGAAGAATCTCTTAGATTACTAGAGTTAATGGTTCAAATGTCCATAGCAGATATTGAAGTTCCTGGACAGCAAGTCAAGATTCGTGATGATCAGGTTTTTTAAAAAGGTTTGCTTATAGCAAATATTTTTAAGGTTCGCAATAATGCTGGTGGATATGTTTTTAAAGTCAGTGATCTTACAAGAGTTCGACGGTTTCTCATTTTGGGTACGGAGGGCGGTACGTATTATGTGACTGAACAAAAGCTTACCATGGACAATATGGAAGCTCTGATCGATATAATTAAACGTGGAAAGGGCGGAATGATTTTAAGAGAGATTGTTAGCATTTCATTGGCAGGTCGTTCACCAAAACAGGTGTGCTATTTTTTTGACCTTAATGGATGTTCTAAAAAATTAAATTTAGGATCCATTACTTTTTGCATTGGCTCTCTGTGCACGTTATAGCGTTCGTGATAGAAAAAGTTTATTACAAAAGTCAGGAGAATATGATCTTGAAAAGGCCCTTCTTTCGAATACAGAGGATTTTAATTCAGATGAAATGAAAAAATTTGATCTTTATTTGTATAAACTGCAACAGACTGCTTTTAGGATGGTTGCTAAAGTTCGTTTTAATTTTCCTATATTTTTGTTAACCTATTTTTAATCCGTTAGGTTTGCCGTATACCAACACACTTATTCATGTTTGTCAAATATTGTGAACTTATAGCAAAAGCAACGGGTGAAGAGCACACTGGATGGGGACGAGCAATGCGCAAATGTATCGCTGAATGGTAAATTTACTTTTTTAGGTTTTGCTTCTCATTATTCTTTTCTGCGTCTTTAGGTATTTACAAAAATCTCCTATGGAGCTTGCTTTGCATATTACAAAATATCCAAGTCGTGAGTCTTGGTCTCATCGTGATCTTCTTCGTTTGTCCCACCCAATGGCGAGTTCGAATAACAAAGAATTGGCAAATTCTCAAACTCTTGTTTATGATCAAATATTCCATTATGCATGCAAAGGTTCACTTTTTTTATTTTTGTTTAATATTTCCAAAATTAGGTGATTTCAACCCACAAAAGGCAATAATTGTCGAGTCTGACGGAGCAAATGAAACGCCTTTGTTAAAAAAGTCAAGATGTGATTATGGACTTACCGAACAAATGATTAAATATGCAAATGATTCTGTTGCTTTAGAATTTATTCGAAAAGTAATGGAAATGTCAAAACTTAAATCTGATAATGAAGATGATGAGAAACGTTGTGTTGAATTAATTAAAAAATATAGTGAGTTTTAAGTTTTTTTTAAATTTTGAACAAGTTTTTATCTCGCAATGATTTCATTTTCAAAATTTTTTTGTAAAGATTTTGTACGCGAACACGTTCCAACCACTTTGCTTAATTCCCCTAAAGTTTGGACTGCATTACTACAACATATGCCTATGACTGCTCTTTTACGTAATCTGTCAAAATTGGCTACCTTAGGATTATTGGATGACGAATTAAACAAGTTTATTAGACCTTCCCTTTTCTTAATTTATTTTTAAATTTTAGAGAATGTGTTGATCTAGTTATCTCAAAAATTCTTAATCAAGAAGCCCTTCAGAAAGCAAGAATTCACCCAATTGCTGTTCTTCTAGCATCCTCAGTTTACAAGTCAGGACATGGAATTAAAGGCAAACTAAAATGGGAAGTAAATGATCGAATTAAAGAAGCCTTAGAGCAATGTTTTATTCTTGCTTTCAAAAATGTTCAGCCAACTGGACAACGTTTTTGTTTGGCTATGGATGTTTCTGGTAAATTCAAATTTTGGATTAAATCCTTTTCCTTTAATTTATAGGAAGTATGCGTTGGACCAATATTACTGGTGGAATACTTTCTTGTTGTGAGGCATCTACTGCAATGGCAAATGTTACATTAAGGACTGAGGAAAATGTAGGAAAAGATTTCAAACACATTTTAATTTTTATTAATAGGTTAAATGTGTTGCTTTCTGTGATGAACTTCTCACGCTTCCATTTACTCGCGAGAGCACGATTACTGAAATGATGGATTATAATGAGAAATTAGATTTTGGAGGTACTAATTGTGCTCTTCCTATGCTTTGGGCAAAAGAAGAACATCTTTCATTTGATGTTTTCATTGTTTATACCGATTCGGGTAATCTTATAATAAATGTGAATCTTTTAATTTTGTTTTTCTCGTTTCAGAAACATGGGCAGGAGTACGTATTTATTTTTCTAATATTTTCCAAATAAATTTTGATAATATCGCATTATCTTTCCGCATATTTTCTTTCATTTCCTTTTCCTAAAAATTACAAATTAACGTAATCCGTGGAGATAATTCGATAATACTTTAATTTCAATTATAAATTATACAAAATAATAACAGTAAATTGTTTTAATTTAAGGATATTCATCCATTTGAGGCACTTAAAGATTATAGACAACAAATGAACATTCCAAATGCAAAACTTATTGTAATGGGTATGGCTGCAAATGAATTCACAATTGCTGATCCAAATGATCCTGGTATGCTTGATATTGTTGGTTTGGACGCTGCTGTGCCAGATTTGATACGCTCGTTTGTTTTGGAAGAAATTTGAAGAAAATGAATTGATTTGTAAAAATATTTTTATATTAAATATAATTCTTATTATTAAAAAAATTCCGTATTTTATTTAAATCTTTCTTACTTAAACATACCGACAAATTTAGGCATTATTATAATATAATTTTTGCTGTTATTTTTATATTACTTATATTAACTTGCCTTTATATCCGTAATTATGCTTTATTTACGTTTAGATATCATTAAATGTTATATTAACTACTCAATAATTAATTGAATTTTTTAAATCAAATTTTTTAATACTTTTATTTCATTTTAATGAATTTAATTTTCATCCTTTTTTTTCTTTAATAAGAATGGAGTTAATCTCTTAAATATAGTCCATTTAGAAATAAAGTAAAATCCAACAATTTTTGTGTAATTCATTAAATCAATATGGTATAAATGTTAAAGTTCTCTAAGAATTCCTATTGTGAAATATGGGACAAAAATGTTTCATCGCGGCCCTGACATTTTATCTGATGATGAATGTAGTGAGAGGAAGCCTTTTTTCGCTTATGTTAAATGTTTATTTCTCTTATTTTTTGTTGAATTAACACATTTGTAAATATTAAAAAAAGAAAGTTTAATAAACTTTTCTGTAATATTAAATCAATTTTTATAGATTTTATTTAAAAATGGCAGCAGCAATTGCTAAAGATTATTATTTTGTAATTGTTGGACGTCAAGATCAACCACTTTTGGAAATGGATTTTCCTCCAAAGAAGCGTGAAACTCAGGCAGAAACTCATCATTTACTTCAATTTATTGCACACGCAGCTTTGGATATTGTGGATGAAATGACACTTAGGGAGCCACAAATGTACTTGAAGGTTTTTTTAATTTTCTAAAAAATAATCTCAAAGGTTTAACTTGCCTGGTGATTCATTTTAAAATTGATAAATATCATTTTCAATTTTTTATAGATTGTTGACAAATTTAATGAATGGTTTGTTTCTGCATTTGTTACATCTAGCCGTATTCGCTTTTTAATGTTACATACACAAAAGAATGAAGATGGGATTAAACAATTCTTTCAAGAAATGTTTGTTTTGAATTAAATTTTTTTAAATTTTATTTTTGTAGTTATGAAATGTATATAAAATATTCTATGAATCCCTTTTACCAACATGATTCTCCTATTCGTTCTGTAAATTTTGAACAAAAGGCTGGCATTTATGGACGGAAATTTCTTGGAGTTTAAATTAGTTTTTTAAATTTTTTTTGTAATTTATTTGTTTTTGTATTAAATATAATTTATACTTTATTATTTTTAAACAATGTTTATTTAACATTGTATATTTTTTGTCTATATTTTCTTTTTTCAAAACATTTCAGTTAACTTGAATTTTATTACCAACTGATCTTATTAAAATGGGCAATTGTTGTGCTGATTGTTGTCTGTTTTTGGTTATGCTTATTTTCCCGGTAATTTTCAAAATATTTTAAATAAAAATTAAATTTAGAATAATAATTTTAATCTTTTTAGCCGTTGGCAGTTCTGATTCGTGAAGGGTGCACTATTCATCTTTTGTTGAATTTTATTCTGACTTGTGCCTTATGGCTGCCAGGACTGATTCATGCTATTTAGTTTGTTCATTTTATTTTCTTAGTTTTGTTAACCTGAATAAGTTAAAATTTTTTTGTTTATTTTCCTCTAAAATAATTTAACTATTTAGTGTTTGCTATTATATGTATCCTACTAATGTGGCTGTAGTGGCAGTGCCGCAGCAAACTGTGACGACTGTGCATTATGGTGCAAATTAAAGAGTCAAAAGATGAAATTGAATTGAGGCCTTTTATTAAATTGACAACGAGTTTTAAAAAATATATGAAAAGCTTTTAAATTATCTCTCTACTTTTAGCTTTTATGTAAATCCCAATTATTTTTGACAAAATTTTTGTTACATTTCATTCCAATTTGTCAGGTATTTTTGAAAAATGGGTGTGTTTTTTAATTTTTCGATATTCTTTTGTTATTAAAGATAACCAAAATTTCCGTATTTATTTTAAAAACACATCTTTATTGAACTTCTTTATGATAGTGGAATTGAGTAGTAATCTTTATTTTATAGTTAGATTTTACAAAAATTACTACCAATTTCACTTACTGCCATAAAAGTAAAATTGAAATATTACACACATATCTTTAACTTGCTACGTATTTAACTGATAAATGAATTATTCTGAATTTTTTAAAAATTAAATTTCAATTTGTTACATAATCAATTAGCTTTTTAAAATATTTAATTTTTCATTTGAATGTAAAAGTGTTAATGTCCAGACAGAAATTAATTTTTTTATTTCTAAAAGTATAATATTAATTAAAAAAATTTTTTAATAGATCTAAAACAAAAATGCCCCAATTTATGCATTTTAGAGATAGTGGTGATACACTTCCTTTTGTTGTACGTCAAAATGGAGGTGTTGTTGATCAATCCTCGTCTGCTGCTTTACTTAAATTGGTTTTTTTAAATTTAAAATAATTTTTATTTTTCTTTGTCTTTAGCTTTTAATTCGGCGTAATAATTTGTGTGGTCTTTTATTTTGTTTTCTGGTCACTGCTTTACTTTATGTACAATTATACAAATTTCCGAATCAGTTACAGTTGGTTGATAAGACAATGGATGTTTTACAAAATAGAGAGGTTTTTAGAATAAAATAATTTTAGTTTAAATTGAAAACAAATTTTAGTCATATAAAAAAGGGATAGCTAATTCTGAGAGACGAAAAGACGCTGAAAAAATAAAAAAGAAAATTATGCCAATGAATATTCCAAAATTTGAAGGTTTGAATTAAAAAAGATTTAGATTTCTTTTTTTAATCAAAAAATTAAGGTCCGAAAAATGATAAACAAAAAGCTTTAAGAGATGCCTTTTTACATGCTTGGCGAGGTTACAAACAATATGCTTGGGGACATGATCTTTTAAAGCCTGTAACACGTACATACCAGGAATGGATTGAATGCGGTTTGAATTTTTTAATAGAAATAATGAGATGGATTTAAAGATTAAAAACTAATTTAAAAGTCTGTTGACAAAAATTTTTTTCGAGATTTCCTGAAAAGAGCTTTTCGAGAAATACCTTTTTGAACCCTGAAATCAAAAAAAACTTTCTGACCATTTACTTAATGTAGTCGTTTATTTTTTGATTTTGTTTTTATCTATTTAAATGTTTTTTTATTCATCTCTCTTTTAATCAAATTATTTTAAAGGTTTAACCATTGTTGATTCATTGGATACTCTTTTAATTATGGGTCTAAATGATGAATTCAATGAAGCAAAGGAATGGGTAGCTAAAGAGTTAGATTTTGATAAAAATAGATTTGTTAGTCTATTTGAAACAACTATTCGGGTAACAAAGTAATATTTTAATATTTTCATAAAATTTTTTTTAGATACTTGGAGGTTTATTGAGCGCTTATCATCTTTCTGGAGATCAAATATTTCTTACAAAGGCAGAGGATATTGGGCGTCGATTATTACCTGGTATTAGCGATTCACCTACAGCTGTTCCTTACAGGTGGGTGTTTTTTTATAAATAAAGTATTCGGGCAAATTGTTCAAGTATGTAACAATTAAATAGGTAATTAAATTTTTTAAATGTTTTTTGGTTTAGTTTAAAGACAAGTTTATAGCTTCCCTTTATGAATAATTTTTATTTTTTTCTAATTAATAAGTAATTAAACATAAGGAAAATTTATGTATTTATTGTAAGTAATCTTTTAAAAATTTATTAGAAATAGTAAAAATCTTATACTGTAATCTAGTCATCTCACAAGTATTTCTTTTGAAGCACAATTGTTGTTTGTATTTAAAATCCTGAATTTTTGTTACTTATTTTTTACCCCAAAAATAAATAATCGAAATAATTTTCTAAAAATATTTCTTAAAAAAATTACCAATCTATGCTAAATTTTTTCAATTCAGTTATTTTTTGTTGTTTTTCACAATTTTCTTTTATTTTTGTTTGTCTAATTGTTTGTTGTTGTTGTTGCAAGAATTGCTTTTGTAAATGAACTATTTGTTGATAATATTGTTGTTTTTGTTGATTTTCTTTTTGTTCTTTTTTGTTATTTATCATTTCTTCCATTTGCTCTTTTCTCATTCGATGGAAACGTACATGTCGGCATATACGCAAATCTTTATTAAATTATTTTAAGAAATATTTATTTTATTACCGTGAGTTTCAGCCTCTCCTGGGCATGCACAAGATGCCGTCCTCGAATTTTTATTTTCTAAATCACCAGTCTCTTCGAATCTAAAAATTATATTATTTAATTTAGTATTTATCTCTGAGGAGGGGAGTAGTGACTCTCTTCTTTCCGTTCTTTAATTTTCCCGTTTTCTAAAATTCGTCTACCTTCTTATCACTTTAGAAACACACGAATGCGTGATCCCAATTTCTCGAGCAATTGAAATTTTCCGCTTTCCTTCCTTGTAAAGGCTTATTATCTTTTTTCGATCGCATAATAATAATGGTCGGCCTGTAAAAATTATTATTTCTTTATTTTTATTTTTGCCTTTTTAAAATATTTTTAAAAGAAATTTTTTTAATTTAAATTACCGGATATATAAGGCCTTCCAAAACGGTTACGTGCAGATTCACCAACTTAAATAAAAATATTTTTAATTAATATTTTCTATTTTTTCCTCACTTCTATCAACTAAATTATAATTTTCTTCTGAACATTGTCGTGTTTGCATTTTTAGTCTCGACATTTCCATCTTTGTTGTTTCTCCAAATTGATGTCTTGATGGCAAATTTTTAGAGAGGTTTCCATTATTTAATTGAGGAAAATATTGAATAAAGTTATTTGTAATAAGCATTTTTTTAACGTTAAAAATCTAAAATAAATGTTTTTAATATTCTTTACTCATCTACATTTTGTTTTATTTTTCTTTTATCATTTTTAATGATAATTATTATTATTGTTTCTTTTTCTGTTTTTAATTTTTAGATTATCTAATTACTTTATGTTTGTTAATAATTTATATATATATTTCTTTAAATTTATCAAAAATTAAAGAACTCGGACGCACTGTTCTATGCGCAATATGATTGACATTATTTTAATAATTTGTTAGCATATCAATTTTTATTTAAAAAAATTTTTTCCTCAACTTTCTCCATTTCTGCATAACAACTTTTTTTAGTTTTCTCCAGTAAAATAATTTTTTTAGTAAATTTCACGTTAATTTTTACTGCGTCAATGGCGCATTTTTGCCTTTTTAGATTTTTGTTTTATTTGTCTAAGTAATTAATTAAGTTTTTCCATGCGCGACTTATCATATTTTCCTTTTTTTTATTTTAATAAATATTTTAGAAAGCAATTTTTCATTTTATTCAGAAATCATGTTCACTCTAAAATATTCATTTTTTAATTAAAAAATATTTGCAAAACTTTCTTAAAACGCCAAATTTTCTGTTAAATGAGAGAAAATGATTAATTAATATGTCACGCAGTAAAAATTATTTGAGTTCAGAAATCAGAAAAATATGATGAATTGTTTTCTAAAATCTTTCTAATTATTTTAATTATTTATTAGAACATACAAATTAAGATAATAATTATTGAGAAAATCAACAAACTAGCATGAATCCCTCCCTTAATGAACTTATTTGATTATCTTTTAAATAAAACTCTTCATTAATAGACCTCATCGTTAGAAATTATCTTAGAGAAAAACTGTCAATATATCAAGATTCCCTATTTTTAATATGGGACAAATAAAGGATTATACCTATAATCTTTCTAGGAAATATATATTCTTTTTGGGAAATAAGGTTGTCGGATAGTTGAAAAACTCCGGATATCCGGATCCGACAACCTTATTGGGAAAGGACTTAAATTAAATAATAATGGGAATATTTTAAGTAATTCAAATATTTTTGAAACCTCTAAACAAAAATTATTTAAATTTCCTCATGCTTAACCCGAAAGCATAAATGAAGCACAAACCATTTAAAATAAAGTAGTACTTTGCATTAAGTATTAAAACACTAATTATATTTGCACACGCCCATTAAAAGTAGGAAAAAAATAACAAACATCTAAACACGAAAATTTTTTAAAACCGACTGAGCACCGTTTGATTAATTAATTTGCATTAGTTCGGTGCATATAAACAAGTAGCTAACTATTAATTAATTATTTGTTTTAAATGCTTTGAGTTTTTTGGCAAAAAATTAAAAAAAGAATCAAGATTGTATCTATATTTTTATTGGTAATTAGAGCACTAGAAATGCTAAAGCTATTTACATATATTAATCGCTTAAAATATTTTATTAGATTTTTTCCGAAGAATCGTTTAATTCAAATCTTCCTTTATAATATTTTTACTTAGAATTTTCTGGAATTTTTGATTTTTTGGTATTATTTCATCATCACAGAAATGTTCTCGAAATTTAAACTTGAAATCGAAAAATTAAAAAATGGAAAATAACGTTGAAGGGTTTTAGTTTATATCAGGAAATGAAACCAGAAGAAGACCAGGAGGGATTAGGACCGATTGTTAATGTACCCTTCCAAGTTGCATTAATAAACGGCATTTACCGGTAGACCCTAGCTGATTCTAATTGTAAGATCCAAATCCGGAAAACTTTGAATTTCCGACCCCGTTTCATTCTTTTCACTCCAAAAAAGGCAAAAAGACTACCGATCCCGTTTCTATCTATCACTATTATTGGATTTAATTATTTTATTTTTTTCTGTCTCTAATTTTGTAGATCATAACGTTTTTATTTTAAAATCATTTTCGGCTTTTCTTTTTGCTTTTTAAAATATTATTGTTTGATCTTTTCATTTAATAGCTTTTTTTATAAATTTTATGTTTAAAGAACAAACCCAAACAAACATCTTTTTCTTTTCCTTTCACGCGCGTTACATTTTTTACAATTTTATTTATTTACGTGACTATTAATTTTATTATATTTTTTGCATTTTTTTCTTGTGTTTGTTTGCCCGTAACATTGTTGTGCGAAAAATTAAACAAAAAATAACTGAAATAAAAATGCAACTTTATCTTTGCTTATAATCTCTGTCGGCATTTTTCTTTTACAAAAACTAGCAAGTAAATGAATTTATTGTTAAATTTTTCCGCGCAAAGAGTTGAAACAATTTTTTATATTAAGATAAATTTTACAGTATTATTAGAATATTTTATATCTGTAAATTCTGTCTAAATATGTATTGTTTTATTTTTTTGCTTTTGCCAAAAAAGATTATGGCAAATCTAGGACATTCCTTCCAAAAATTTCCTTTCGGTCTGAAAACGAATTTTCGTTTAGAAAAAATTGGCCATGGGCTCCATAAATTTTTTAAGTAATTTTTGTAAATATATTTAAAAAAATTAATTTTATAGCGACGTAAATCTTCGTACTGGATCTAGACAACAACCTAGTTGGAGTGTAGATTCTTCTCTTGCAGAAATTGCTTCTCTTCAATTAGAATTTCGTGATTTAGCCCGACTTGTTGAGAATGATACTTACGAGGTGTTTTTTTTGGAATTTTAAATTAATTTTTAAAACAAAATAAATATAATTTAGACATTATCTTTTCGTGTCTCGGAACATATTCACGACCAACCTTGTAATAAACAATTTGGGTTATGTCCCATGTTTATTTCCCCAACTGGTGGACGTTTTCGAGAACCTGGCACTTTAACTTTTGGTGCTAGAGCTGATTCTTATTATGAATATTTGCTAAAACAATGGTTACAAACTGGGAAAACAATTGACTGGTTAGAGAAAGATTATAGAAGGGCGATGGATTCTATGCAAAATAAATTGTGGAAAGGGACTGTTTCTGGGAAATTATATTTTGTTGGTCAGTTTTTGAATATTTTGGTGGATAATTTATATTTTTCTCTTTTTTTCTCAGGAGAACAAACAACGGAATCATCAAATTCTTTAATTAAATTTTCTCCAAAAATGGACCATTTAGTTTGTTTTCTTGCTGGCACTTTAGCACTTGGTACTCAACATGGAATGCCCTCTATACATTTGGAAATTGCTAAAAATCTTTCTCAAACATGTCAGGCAATGTATGAAAATCCTACAGGATTGGGACCTGAAATTGCTTGGTTTAATATTATTGAGAATGAAGAAAATAAAAAGACTACTGATAATGATGGTTAGGGATATTTTATGTTAAATCCTGGCTAAATTTAAGTAGTCTAAGTAGTCTCTGGATTCCTCAAAGCTTCCTTCCTCTAATCGGATTCAGTTTTCCTTTTTATCATTGTAAAATTTAAGCAGATGGTCTCCTTTCAGATCTCTACTTTTCATGGCGCGAACTTTGCGGATCAGAATTTTTCGGACCCGAAATTTTAGACCAATACTTGAGTAAAAAAGTAAAAAATAAAACATATTTTCGATGACTCCGGCAGGGTTTACCATGATTCCGTAACGGACTCAAGTCGGGTCCGCAGATTCGAATTGCGAATATCGGCTCGCTCTCCATTTAATTTTCCATTGTTACATAATAATGACTAATTTTGATATATTTATTTTCGATCACAAAATTCAGATAACCATTTTCCATCTAATTCATTTAATTTTTTTCTATTATAGAATCCAAACTTCCTCCTGATTTATATATTAAATCGATGGATGCTCATAGTCTTCTTCGTCCGGAAGCATTCGAAGCTTGGTTTTATTTACATAGAATAACTGGTGATTCTATATATAAAGAATGGGGATGGACTGCATTTAAAGCAATTGAACAATATGCAAAAGTTGAGAGTGGAGGATATTCTTCTGTTCAAAATGTAAAGAGAATACCTGTACATTTAAAGGATATGATGGAATCCTTTTTCTTAGGGGAGGTAATAAAATAATTTAAATTTTCTAAAATAATTTTCATTCCTTTTTTAGTCATTAAAATATCTTTATTTGCTTTTTGCTGATGATCAACAAAATAATCCAGATATACCTCTTGATAAATGGATTTTCAATACAGAAGCACATCCTTTGCCAGTCAGAACACATTGAAAAAGGAATTTTAAAAATTTTATTTTTTCTTCATTTACGGGCAATTTTGAAGATGCAAAGATGCACAAATTTAAAAATTATATAAGGGTCTTTAATATTTTATTTAGTATTAGTTTTAATATCTTATTACTAGTATTTTGAGCAAAACTAACGAACGTCTTTTTAAAACATGTACCAAGATTTTTTCCTGTAATGGTGGAAACTAAAATTAGTGACATTAAAATTTTTAATTTTAAACGATCTTCCAGCCCTAGTTTGCAGTTGATGGACATTACGGTGGTGTCGGTCTGACTTGTCGAATGTTACAAATATTGGTAATCCTTAAGATCATTGGTCCCTAGAAAAAAATGAGAAAAATGCCTTTTAGATATTTTTGAGGCTTTCCAGTAGGTAATCGAGTCTCCCGAGTCCGAATCGAGTATTAAGTGTTTACTATTAAAAAAATTTTTTCTGATTTTAGGCCAGGAAACAGTTCGTAATTGTCTGCTTCACAACAACAGCTGATGAATCTCACACTATTGCAAGTTCAATCATGATTCAGAAGCGCTGTTTGAGAGCGCATTGCTTTGTTCGACATATGGGACTGCCCTCACTGCAATTACTTTAAAGAACTCTCCTTCTGTTCCAGGTGGAATAAGTGTGATTGCACTAGTTATAGATTCATCAGGTGCTGTTGCGAAGCACAACATTATGTTACTGATGTAAGAAGGGCCATCCTAAAATCAAAAAATTTTTTAATAATATACATTTCATATTAGACGAATAACTCCGACTGTTTTTGTTGATTCTGGCTTTACGAAGCCATAAACTTCTTTAAATTTGTAGTATGCGTTGCTGTTGCATTTAATTTTTATAACATAATTTAATCAATATTTATAATATAAATCATCCATGTCTGGATCAGAATCATAAAACGAACTTTAGCTCCTCATTTTTTGAGAATGGCTTTCAAAATTAAATGCAACAGCAACGCATATTACAAATTTAAAGAAGTTTATCGCTTCGTAAAGCCAGAATCAACAAAAACAGTCGGAGTTATTCGTCTAATATGAAATGTTTATTATTAAAAAATTTTTTGATTTTAGGATGGCCCTTCTTACATCAGTAACATAATGTTGTGCTTCGCAACAGCACCTGATGAATCTATAACTAGTGCAATCACACTTATTCCACCTGGAACAGAAGGAGAGTTCTTTAAAGTAATTGCAGTGAGGGCAGTCCCATATGTCGAACAAAGCAATGCGCTCTCAAACAGCGCTTCTGAATCATGATTGAACTTGCAATAGTTTGAGATTCATCAGCTGTTGTTGTGAAGCAGACAATTACGGACTGTTTCCTGGCCTAAAATCAGAAAAAATTTTTTTAATAGTAAACACTTAATACTCGATTCGGACTCGGGAGACTCGATTACCTACTGGAAAGCCTCAAAAATATCTAAAAGGCATTTTTGCTCATTTTTTCTAGGGACCAATGATCTTAGAGATTACCCAAATTATTCTGTTTTAAAAATTGAAAACCGGAAATTTTAAGTTACAAAAATAAATTAATTTTATTACCGTTTGGTTCGAAATCATCCTTCCGGTTTTCCTTTTTTCTTTCAATTTTTTATAAAGAACTACAAGTCAGAGAAGCACCATCGAATGCAAACTAGGGATTGGAAGATCGTTTAAAATTAACTTCAATTTGAATTAATTTTAGTTTTAAAAAGGCCAAATTATTCATTTAAATAATAAAATATTAGATTATTTGTTTTCTTTTGGTCCTTAAAAAATGCTAGTACATTTATACATATTACTATATCAGAAATACCTAAACTTTTCTATTTACATGTTTATCTAGTTGTTAACTTTAAATGTATAAATATTAAATATGTAAGTAGATGAAGAGACAAAAATATTTAATTTCAAAAATTTTTATTTATTTCTATTCCTGCTATTTTTTGAGGATTTTTTAATTTTATTAACATCGTCATTATTATCATAATACATTGAATAGTAGTCATCATCCTTTCGAAAATTCCTAAAAAAAGTTTTTTTTTCAAAGAATTTTTAGAATAAATGGAATAATTTAAATTTTGTTTTTATTTAAAGAACTTCAAGTTATTCTCTTATGTTTGGAATATTATGAAAAAAATTTTTTTGAGATTCCAAGACCAAAGCTAACAATAAGACAAATTTTAACTAAAATTTAATTTTCCTCTAAATTTTGATTTTTTATTTTTAAATATTTTCTTGCCTTCTAGTTATTGTTGTCATTATTGGTGTTGTTGTTGTTTTTAATTTTTGTTTATTTTCATTTGTCTGATTTAAAAATATTTTTGTTGTTGTTTTAATTATTTCTGCTTCTTCATTTCTTTTTTTATTTAATTCTTTTTCTTTTTTAGAAAAAATAATTATTTGTTGCTCCTTTGTTTTGTTGTTGTTAGTAGTTTTTAAAGGAATTATTTCACTTTTTTCTAAAATAATTTGTCCTTCAGGAAATTCATCTTCTGAAAATTAATGAAATTTTTTCTAATTAGTGATTGTAGGGATACAGTAAAATTTGTATTATTTTCTTGTTCGGTTACTTGTTCTTCACGTTATTTTAATATTGAAAAAAATTAATTTTGTACTAAAAACTACATAGAGTAGCGCGAGCATGACCAAGTCCATGACCAAGTCCGAGGCTGGTCGATCCGAGATCTAGATTGGAAAATGGCGAGGCTCGACCTCGAGCTACTCTACTAGAAACTAAAATGTTTATTGAATCAAATCATTATTTCTTCCCCTTATTTTTTTACCTTCATCCAAAGATATCGGCTTTGCATCAATAGATTTGGCAATCTCTGGCAATTCAATATTTTTTCCTTTTTCTTCCGTCTTTTTCTCTTCATTTTTTATATTTTCTTCTTTTGTTATTTTTGGAATTTTTAAATTAATTTTTTCTTTTCCCTTATTCCTTTCCTCTTCCAAATTAGAATAATAATCTTCTGATTTTTTATTTTTTCCATCAATTGAAAATAATATTTTTGGTTTATTTGTTTCTTCGTTTGTTGAAGAAAAATCTATTCCAATATTTTCATCATCCTTTTTAAATTTTTAATTTAAAAATAAATATCTTTATCTACGCACTTAATTACCCTGGGGACTATTGCTTCAATTATTCGCTGGAGGGGGTTATTAATACAGGAGGGGTAATTATTTTAGGTTATTTTAGAAAGACTAATTATACAGTCATCGACATAAAGATAGGGGCAAGTGTAAATGAAATGAAAATTTACTATTTTTCAGTCAAAAAATACGTTCTATATAGCAATCGAAAGCTCTATTCGTATCTCAGTTGACATGTTTCTGCATTTTTCATGAAAATGAAAATTGGCCGAGATAATCCGGATCTACCGGATATACCAAATCCCATAATCTCGGAAAAATTTTTCGGAAAAAATTTAACAAACCCATTTGATAAAGAATATTTTTGTGAGTATTTACCAAAAAAACCGCTTAGAAATATCTTTTTCCTGACCAGAGATATGATTTTTTGAAAATGGCATTTTTCCCTTAAAAATTGAATTTTTTGCAAAAATAGGCGAAAAATGCCATTTTCAAAAAATCATATCTCTGGTCAGGAAAAAGATATTTCTAAGCGGTTTTTTTGGTAAATACTCACAAAAATATTCTTTATCAAATGGGTTTGTTAAATTTTTTCCGAAAAATTTTTCCGAGATTATGGGATTTGGTATATCCGGTAGATCCGGATTATCTCGGCCAATTTTCATTTTCATGAAAAATGCAGAAACATGTCAACTGAGATACGAATAGAGCTTTCGATTGCTATATAGAACGTATTTTTTGACTGAAAAATAGTAAATTTTCATTTCATTTACACTTGCCCCTATCTTTATGTCGATGACTGTAATTATTTTTAATGGGGTGATTATTGTTTTAACCTTTAGCTGAAGGGAGGGGAGGGGGGTAATTAATAGGGAGGATAGGGTAAATGAGTATTATTTGAATAAATACAGTATTTTTTACTTTATTTTCAGCAATTTCAATTAGTTTTTCTTCTCCTTTAATAAATTCTTTTTTATTTTTATTGTTATTATTTCCTCTTCCAAATAATTGTGAAATACTTTCTGGGCCTGTAAAAGTCTCCAAAAGATCTGGATTTGCTAATAATTCACCAATCATATCAAATCCTTTTGGGTCATTTAATAAAGATATTGCTGTCTATTTTAATTAATTTAATTATTCGGCACGCGGACATATCGGACGGACATATTGGGATATTTCAATGTACGAACAGTTACCCTACTGATCTTGGAACCTAAGGCCACTGGGTCTTGGATAGGTATATTGTCCTATCGAGGAATATGTAGAGTTTTTATGTTTTAGAACAAACATAAACACGTAAGAAATTATTTTTGTCGCCCCAATCTCGATATGTCCGCACGCCAAATTTTATTTCTCGTTTAGTTCACAAAAATTTACTTGAAAATTAGAAAAGAATTCACTTCTTTTAAATTCATCCAAAGCTTTATAAATATCAGCACAACTAATTCTGTTACAAATACCTAAAAATGGAATTTCTGGTAATTGGGGCTCTTCAAATTTTCCATTTTGTTGTGGACTGCTAAGTAAAACATCCAAAATTTTTGTAAAATCGTTGTTATTGTTATTGTTGTTGTTAGCTAGTTAAATAATTAAATTAAAATAAAAACAAATTAATTATTTACAAATTAAAATAGGGGAAGAATTTAATTTTGTTTGTTTTGCAATTTCTTCTTTCCTTTTATCATTAACAAAATTAAAAATTTCTGTGAGCAATCCACTTTTGCCAAATAAAGAATTCTTCCATTCTTTGTTATCTTTTGAGTGTTTTTAATTTTTAAATTTTAAAATTTTTAAAAATTACTAAATGCTTCTTTTAATATTGTTGACATTCCGTCTACCAATTTTGGTTGTTGATGAATAGAAGAAAGAAGAGAAGTAGGAAGAGGGGAAGGATGAGGAATATTATTTAATGTAGCCGAGGATTTATTTTGTTCCTCTTAACTTTTCAATAAATTATAATTTTTAAAATAAATTAACTAAACTTTTAATTATTAACGGTTTAGCATCAATACTTTCACTTATTTCTTCAGAAAAATTTATATTTATTTTTTCGTCTTTTAAAGATTTTTTATTTATTGTTGGACTTCGAGGAATTGGAGGAGAGAAGGGAGAGAAAAGTTGGCGAGTAAAATTGGAGGAAATTGCCTTTAAAATTAATTTTCAAAAAAATATTTTAATTTAAAAAACATTTCTTGGTTGATTATTCCTCCTTTCATTTATTAATGTACTTCTCCTTTCAACATTTCTTTCAATTTTTTGATTTTCTAAAAAATGAAATTATTTTTAAATAATTTTTGAAAAACTTGAATTTCCAGTTTGTTTTAATGCTTCTTCTATTTGTTTCAACATTTTAATAAATATTTGTACAAAATCTGATTTATTTAAATTTTCAATTAATTCACTAAATAAATTAATATTTCCTCCAGAATTTGTTGGAGTTTTTGGTGGTTTTAATTCTGAGATTTTTTTAAATTTAAAAAATAATTTTTTTATTAAATTAGTTTGTGTATTTAATTTAGGTATATTTTTGTAAAGCATACATATATTAGCTATTTAATTCCTAAGGCTATGCAATAGGCGGCGTGGTGTAATGGTCCGGTCTACTGAAGAAGAGCTCGTTCCGAGCCCCCAATTAACTTTTTGCACTACCTAAAGGAGAGAAATAGCCCTGGCTACTTTATTTTTTCTTGATAATTTTTTCTACCAAAATTTTCCCAAAAATCGAAAAATATATAAAAATACTTTTTTAATTCCAAACCTTCTCCATTTTTCCTTTCAAAAATATTTAAATTTTTAAATTCCTCAAATTCTTTTTTATTAATTAAATTATTATTTTCTCTTATCATTGGAATAGCAATTACAGAGGAATTAAATAAAACAAAAATTGGGAATATTAAAATAAAAGAAAATAATTGAATAAATATTATTTTAATTAAATTATTTTTAAATAATAAATTCTTTTTCCTCATTTTTTTATTTGAAAATTAATTTTTAAAAATAAATTATAAAAAATTATTGGAAAGTTTGAGTTAGCCAATAAATATTTTCGATGTTTAAATAAATTTTTCTTGATTTAAAAAATAAATTTTTGTAATTCTAAAAATTATTTTATAAATATCCACTAAAAATTCCCCCCTTCTACGTCAACCAAAATATATTTTAATCTTTTTCTTCTTTTTAGTTGCGCACTTGACTTGTTTTTGGGCCTTGACCTCTTTTTGAGGATTTCCTGTTTTTTGTCGCTAACTATTTTTGGATTTTGTGCAATTTAATGGTTAAAATAAATAAATATTTTTTTAGAAAATAATTAAAAATAAATGTCCTTGAATATTTTTAAATAAATATAAATTAAGTAAATAATAATTGTTTTTTAAATATTAAGAGAATTTAAAGATTAAAAATTAGATCAATAAAAATGCTTTTCATATTAAAACTTTTTGTCTATTTCATCTTTAGAAATCCCTCAGGATTGAACGAAATAATATTTAGTGAAAAGCAGGCAGAGGAATGAGGGGAAAAGATTTTTAACGAAAGAATCTTCTCCCCATGCGCGATCGGTTATATTTTCAGAGAGAAGCATATATACATAACTACTACTAATGGCCATCCAGCTTTAAATAAATATTTGTAAGGTTGGTAGAGGTGATCAACGGCCTTCATCGCATCTCTTTTTTTATCCAAAAATATTTTTACTCAAACGGCCATCAGTTTTGAAGGACAAAAAAGGAGGATATATGGAGAAAGAAAAATATCTTTTATTTAGAAAAAAAATTTAGAGAAAATTAGAAGAAAACATTACCTGTTTTCTATTTTTTATAATTAATTAAAGAAAAAGTCAAGTATTTGTTTTTTTCGACAAATGAGTCATTTAGGTATATTTTAATCTAAAAATACGATGAGATGTTTTTTTCTATTTATTAAACTAAAAATATTTATAAAAACTAAAAAAACTTTGTGTTAAATAATTCTAGAATATAATTAATCGAGATTAAAGCTTATTTAATTATTTTATCGTAAAGCACTTCCTAATAGGAGATATTTTACGATTAAGCACAGCTCCTAATCTTTTAAAAGATCTTTAGTATTTTATATTTAATCAAACAGCCGTATTGTATGGCCTTTGAATTTTCTGTCGATGTCCCGAATTATTCTTTCTCTGATCAACATCCGAATTTTTATTTGAATATGGTGGGGGTACTTGACGAGGATTTATTGGGGTTAATCCAGCCCCAGTAAATGGCTGTAGACCTGGATCTGAATAATTCGCGGGAAGTAAAGAAGAAATCTTTAAAAGAAATTATTTAAAAATATATTTTTTAGAGATTGGAACTTTTTGTTTTTTTAACATTTCGTGGGCAGAGCCATCTTTAATTAAAGCATTTCCTTGTAAAGAAAGTTTAAGCTGATCACAGAGAGAGTCACGAAGATTTTGCTACAGAAAGGTGTTTTGTTTTATTTATGTATATTTTTAATAACCATAGAAGTAATTTGCCCTTTTCTTGCTTCAATTCTTGAACGATAAAGAAATTCCCCCAAAGCAGCTATCATAGAGGCAATCTAAAAATATTATATTTTTCAAGAAAATTTTAAATTTAAAAAACCATTCCAGCCATTAAAATATAAAATATTCCAGCTACTTTACTTAAATTTAAACTTGCAGAAGACCCATCCTTTTTTAAAAATTATTTTTATTTTAATTTTCCTTTAATTAAAAATAACTGTAATTCCTTGATCACACTGTCCTCTATCATACCACCATTTATTTTCGAGTTTTTTAAGTTCCCCCAATTCTTGTAAGGCCAAAATTGCTAAATTAATTACATCCCTAAATATTTATTTTTTAAAAATAAATTCTTTCTTTTCCCTCCCAACTTCCATTCACTTCCAAAGGGAGTAGCAACCCCATACCCAACACTATTTAAATTAGCCCCAACTTTCATTGTATCACAAGGTTTTCGTGTATTTGCATATTCGTTTGCAGTTGCCTTCAAAAATGTACATATTTTTGTAATTTTAATTTCTCTTTTTACCTCTAAAAGAAAAGCATAACGCCCTTTGTGTGTACGAACACGTTCAATCCCTTCAGCATAAGAATTAACAAAAACTGAGGGAACCTAAACAAATTTTTTGAAAAAAATAAAGATTATTTATACTTGTGATTCCATAAAACGCCACATTCTTTGATAAATTTGAACAGAGGAATACTTTGAAAATTAATTAATTAATTTTTAAATATTTTATTTGAGGGCGTGTGCCTATTAGAGGGTATTCTTTACGTGCTAATCAAGAGTTACTCCAATTAGGTATGATATTTTCCCCTTAAAAACTCCTTTTCTTTTTTTGAGAACCTTAAAAAATTGTGCAGTTGATCCACCTGCCTGTATTCCATATTTTATTTTTGTTTGTTTGGCTAAATCCTCAACACTCTCAATTGGCGCCTGCATTTTTTCTAATGTTAAAAAGGCAGCCAAATTTGCAGTATAAGAAGAAACAAAAAATTAGAAAAAAAATTTGGTAAAAAAATTATTCAATTAAATACCTATAATCATTGTAAAGAACCTAAAAAAATAAAAGTAAATTTATTAAAAATTCTTTAAATAACATACCACCAAGCGCTTGAAGCGATACGTCCACTGATAGATCTAAAAATGAATATATTTTATTAAACTGTTTAGAAGTAGTGATCAAGTATATTTACAGTCATTAAACTAACAATCCCTTCTAATTTTAATAAAACTCCTACCTAGGTAATATATCAGTCCCCTGTTGCATAAAAGCAGCCAAAGTAAACCACATACAATTATAAACAGAAAAATCATTGGATATTGTAAACCCTCCATTAGCCATTTCCTCTACTCTCCATTCATATGGAGAAAAACGAGAAACCAAAAAAATAACAACAGAAACCCCAACATAAGCAAATATTATATACCTTTAAATTATTTTTTAAAAATTATATAATCATTTTATTTACATCCAAATTTCGCTACTTAAAGGTGCCATGAAGGAAAAGACAGAAAATTCTTTAAAAGAAAAAAATAATTTTTTCAAAGGAAATTAACCTTGTTTGTCAGGCTTTTTAATCATTATACTTAAAAAGAGAAAAAAAGATTTACTCCAAAAAATATATTCTCTACCTAATCCCTGTAGTTAGAAAAGGTTTAGAAAAATCAACAACTCTTTCTCTGTCCTAAAAAATAAAATAATTTCCAAAATTAAATAATTTAATTATTACTTGATTAATTGTTAAAGAAGCAACAGAAACATCGGCTTCTCCCCTAAGGAGGTGTCCAACTAATTAAATATAAATTTAATTGAATAAATAAAATTAATTTACTAATTCCATCCCAACCTAAATAAATAAAAATTATTTAATTAAAAATATTAAAATACTTCCATCAGGCTGTCTAGCTCCATATTGGTTATTTCTTGATATAAATATTTCAAAATTAAATTCTTCATTACGTTCATGTAAAAGCTAATTAAAAATATTTTTATTTATTATTTTTAAATTAAATCCAAACATTTAACAAGTCAATACAATATCCCTCAAATTTATTATTTCCTTTACATTCGCTCACATTCTAATTAATTAATTTTTTAAATTTTTTTCTATTCAAAATTAATTTCCACACCTGATTTCCACCTTTTGCCGGATCACATTCTCTTTTTAACATAACAAAAGGATCACTCCTTACCTTAAAATTTAAATTTAATTTCTTTTTTCCTTTCCTCTCTTACAGTAACAACTCTAACAATCTTTTTAGGTCCCCCCTCAGATTGACCAGAACGAGAATTTTGGGTTTGTTGTCGCCTTAAGGAAATATACATTTAATTTATTTAAAATATTTAATTTTTAGAAAAACCAATGTGCTTCTGTTCGGTCTTTTAAAAATCCTGTTGAATGTCTCCAAATAAGAAGCTAAAGAAAATATTTAAATTTAAATAAAAATTATTTTTTAAACTTCTTTTTTGTTGAATGCAGATTTTGTATCGGATGTCAAATCAATTACTGTAACCAAAAAATTTTTGCGTACCCCATCCCTATCAAATTCAACTTGTCCACTTAAAGTACCCGAAGTAGATCCACTCAATTTTAACTTTAAATTAAAAATATTTAAAATTATTTTAATTAAACAAACACTCGTAATTGCTTTAGAAATTAACCGTCCATGTTCAAATGTCAAAAATGGTCTATTCGAATTTTGTCTATCCATACTTGGATAACAATAAATTCCAGGAAAATTCTTTTTAAAAAATCAAAATATGTAAATTTAAAATCAAAAAATTAAAAACTTTATTGTAAAGCTCTCCATGACGAAAATTTTTTCTAAAAAGGGAATCGTTTTTACGTAAAGTAGCCTCTAATGCTGCTTTAGCTACAAGAACAGCATCGTGCACAAATGCAAGTCTTGTCTTTAAAAAAAATAAATAAAAAATAATTTTTTAAAAAAACTTCCAAATCCAAATCCGGCTTTTCATTTAATTCTTTTATTGCCAATTCAATTTGCCGTTTAAGTAAAGCAAACTCTCGATTTTCTCTTTCGATTATTTGAAAACCAGTGATGTTTATATTACCCTTTTTAAATAAATTATTTTAAAAGAAAACTCTCTCTCTTTAATTATAACCCTCACAATAAAAAAATAATTCAAGACACTTTCTTGGTTATATCCACAAACAGAGTTGACTTATCTAGGGAAATCCCTGGGTATATCCACTATCCCGACAAATATATGTACTAGGTAGGGTTGGTCCCCGACAGAGTGGGAGAATCACGGGGAACAATTTTCGGGGAGACAGCGCCACGGGGAGAGGGGGGGGCGGGGACGGGGAATTTTCAAAAAATCCCTCAAATTCTCACTTTCGAGGTGAGGGTTATAATTAAAGAAATTGGACCAAATATTATTTTAATTTACTTGTTGAAACATTTCAACATCATATGGCTAAAAAATACGTGAAATAATTTTTATATTTTTAAATTAAAATTAAAAACCAAAAAATCATAATTAGCTACAACATAATTATATTTTTGTTGATTAAATTGTGCTGAACGTATTGCTTGTAATAATTGTTGTTGTCTTTTTAAATAATTCTAGATTTATTTACCTATTTAATTACCTATAATTATTTTTCGTATCCAAAATAATATTTTCTGTTAAATTTAATTTAAAACGTTTTAAATTAAATTGTCTCAAAAATTCCCCAAATTGTTCAACATCTTTTGGTAATTGTAACATTTCTGAACTAATAGAATTATTTGTTCTTCCATTTAAATGTAAATAAATCATTCGAAGATTTTGTGCTGCTAGAAAAGGGTTTAAAAAAATATTTTTTTTATTTTTTCCTTCTAACCTCTATTAGAAATATCAGAATCATGAAAATAAACAAAATTATTCCATCCTTTCATTAACAATAAATCAGCTAATAATTGGGCATTTGGAGGTTTTATACTTGCCTCAAAATTGTTTGGCGTATTTGGCAAAAATGCATGAGGGGATAATTCCCAATTAATTAATGGAATTTCTAATGCATTAACAACAGACATATAAGCCTTTTAAAGAATTTATTTTTAAATGAGGGATTTTAATTACCTCGTGGCTTCTTTGATTACTCTCTCCCATAAGCATTAACATAAATCCTGATTGAAGTTCAGTACAAACTTTAAATGAGAATACATGAGGGTAATTTAATTAATGATTTACTCTCTCCCTCTAGTAATTACCCTTTATCTTAAAATATTCAAGAGGACTGATTTAGTATCTTATTAAAACTTGAAAGAATTCCCTCCAATCCCTCTCTTAATAATTAATATTAAAGTAAACACTTTTTGCAATCATTCCCCAACTATCATCTACAGCCATTCGAAGTTGCCTGTTTTTATGTGCAAGCAAGAATGTGCTTGGTGTTCCAGAATTTAGACGATTAACAGTAAAATTTAACTAAAAATTTATATTTAGGTAAATTCTTTTAAAATATACAGTTGCTAGAACAGCTAAATCACCAGCAGTTGAGAATGACTCTATTTATTTATTTAATTTATTTAATATTTTATTTAAATATTTTATTTACGTATTGGAATTCTAGAAGGATATCCAAAAATACAAGTAAATAATAAAATAAAATTCCAGCAAAGTTTAAAATTCAAAATCATATTTTCTAAATTAATTGATAAAATTAAATTTAACTTTTCTCAACATAATAAAGTATAATATTCTCTATTAGAGATCGGAAATTTTGAAAAGCCTGGACCTGTTCCTGGACTCAGGAGTTTGATTTATTGACCTGGACTGGATCCTGGGCCTGTAGTCCAGGAAAAACCCAGGAATGTCAAAAATGCCTAGATCTGGACTCTGATTACAGGAAAAACCCAGGGCTTGGTCCTGACCCAGGCCGATCTCTATTCTCTATATTCTCTTTAAAATTATAAATTCAAAAAATAAATTAATAAAATACCAAAAAAACAATTTAAATAAAATAGGAAAATTACATGCTTTTAATGTCCTTTGAAGACGTAAATGGAAAAATTTTGTAGTAAAAAAATAAAAAAAACATCCTCCACCCCTTTAAATTACTTTTTCCTCTCTTTTAACCAATAGTTTTTTTCTTTGACAATTTTGTGCCGAGAAAATGGGTTCTCTCTCAAAATTTTGGGGTAAAACTTGTTGAGTATTATTAAATTTGATTGAAAAATGTAAATTATTTTTTATGTAAAAATATTTATGGGGACATCTTGAAAATAAAATTTTTTTTTGTTAATTTTTAATAAAAAAAGTCGAAAAATTTAAACAAAAAGTGGAATTTAAATGGAAAAATTAAAATATTAATTTAAAAATAGCCCTACTATAAAAAGGGCTATAATTATGATTAACTATATCCGTCTAATAAACACTCTAATAATAACCCCCTCCATTATTCTAACGTCAAATTTCCATTCTTCAATTCCTGTCAAAAACAACAATAATGTCCCACCGTGGTCAGATGCTGCAGGCAATCGGCGATGATGGGATTTACTACACTTGGTATAGACGCCCATATACCCGTCGAGTAGCAACACAAAGTCAACTCCAACAACAGCAACAGTCTACAAGTCAAGGAACGCTGAATATGGAAATGCTAAATCCACAGAAAATTCAGCTTTCTGAGTTGGGTGAAAATATTCTGGTAAGAGAAAATATTTTTTAAACAAAAAATGTGTTTTTGTTTTTAAGGCTTGCTGCTTCCAATGTATGTCAATAAATGACAGATTCAATATGGAACATGTCTCTCGTCTATTCCGTGCAGCATCCAAAAGGAGCTGGATTCCACAAAGTCATGTTGTGGTTGTGCCAGAGGTTGTTGTGAAGGATGGCAGTTATCCTATTGATGTTAGTTGGAAAAATTAATTTTTGTTTGGCTAAAAAAATTTTTTAGGGTCGTCAGCTTTTCCGTCTTCTGATGAAACGCTGTGCTCGTTATACTTTGGAGTTAACTATTCATGCTATGGCATCGAACGATCGGGTGTTTCGCCTCTTAAATCTTTCCTACAGAGTCGTGAATCTTTGCATTGATTCTCTGAATCCTTTGTGTCGCTCTGAAATTATGGAAATTGGGGATCGTTTGCCTTCTCTCAAAACGTTAATTATCAGAAACTGCCGAATTGTGAGTTTTTTGAGGGAACATTTCACTGCAAATCCCATTTCATTTTTAGCACTTCAGTCTTGTTCGCCACTTCAATTCAATGTTGGAACAACTTCAACAACTTCAAATACTTGCAATTGCTGACAATATCAACTTTAGTTGGTTTATTGAAACTACAAAAATACCTGAATTAATTTTCAGGATGCGAGCTCGAACAAGTGCCTCGAAGTCTTCGAATTTTTTGCTTGCGTGATTTCCAAGTGAATGAGCATGTCGGAGCGTGAGTTTTTAAAATCTTTGAACCAAAAAATTTCAAGTAATTTTTAGACTTATGCGAAATGTTCGTCAACGAGCGCCGGGACTTGTTAGTTTTTTTTCTGATTCATCAATTACATGTGTTCTAATTTTCAGACTGTCCTTTCTGTAGAAAGTACAGGGAGGGATGTTGTCAATCAAGCACTTGCATATGAACATATAACCGTTCTTTCTATTCCTTTTTCTCATGTTTTTCCAGAAGACGTTGTTCCAGCTGATATGTTTCCGGCGAATTATTTGAATCGGTTAACGGCCCTCGACTTGGGATTGGTTAATCAAATTGTGAGTTTTCTTCTTTAATTGTTTTCTAAATTATTTTCTCTCCTTTTTCAGTTCATCATTATGCGTTTTCTTCCCGAAATGTTCCCTTGTTTGGAACATTTTAGCTTTTCTTGTGTTGAAGATCCAAACACACAACTTCACAAACATTTTAACCAAATCCTTCCATTTCCTTCTTTGCGCTCGTTTTGTTTGGGTATTTATCAATCGGTAAAAACTTTTGAACAAGAACAACTCCAAAGATGTCTAGACAATTATCCTTTAATCTTCCATGCTGAATATATGGCTTTTGTCCGCAAATTATTTGAGCAAAAAAAGTTGGAGGTAAAGAACGGGAGCAGGCCAACCTACCGCCGAGGCTATAACTTCTTTCAGAATTGTCGAATCCGGGTCGCCTTTGTATGGTTCGATACGCCTCGACGAGATGAATCCAACCATACCTAGTTTTCACAGATTTGACAATTTTGAGCGAAGTTATAGCCTCGGCGGTAGGTTGGGCTCGCGTAGGTTGGGGTGTACCCGTAAAGGACATTGTCTGATTAAAGAAAAATTTTTTTCCTCTTTCAGCATCTTCAGTTAAACTTTCCTCTTTCGGTGGATATTGCAATTGATGTATTCAAAGAGTGCCCTGTAAGTTTCTTTTTCTTAAAGTTAAAATAAAAATAAAATTTTCTTTTAAAAGAATCTTCGTTCGCTTTATTTCCACAATCGTTTTGGAAGTATTTCAAAAAATATTCAACATGGAGATTATTTTATTGCTGAACAATTTATTAAAAAATTCAAAAAACATATTAGGAAAGAAAACATTCCTCGACCAAATAAAGAATCCAGAAAAGTTAGAATGCTTCGAAGTTTGTTTTCTGACACGGAATTTGAAGATGGGAATGACTGGATTTTATGTCAAGAGTATCCACAGTCAAGTCATGTATTGGTTGAATTATTTGTTAGGGAACTTGGAGAGGGAAATAATACTTGTCATCCTACACAGTAAATTTAAATATTTGTTGAAGGAAAAAAATTATTATTTTTTGTAGGCTCTTCAATATTGTGAGAGGCTAAAAATGGATGAATATAATATGCTAATGGTAGTGAATAGGAGAAATAAAAAATATATATTTGTAGGGATGATATATAAATATAAAAAGGATATATTTAGTTATTGTATAGATAAAATGTGTATTTGTATATTACTTGCTATGATATTGTGTTTGTAAATTGTAAATAAAGCTCTAAATAAATTTAAAAAATTGAATTCGATTTTGCACCGTTTCTCTCGCAATTTTTTATTTTTTTTTAAATTCTTTTCATAGAAAGTTGGGGATTTTGGGTTCAGAAAACTTATTAGGATCGAGGGCAGAGAACATGCAGTTCCGATTACTGAAGATTGAATTTTTATGTCAGCACATTCCCCATTCTATATTTAAAATCAGACTTGGTAATGGACATGGATTTTTGTGTCTATATTCTGATATTTACGGCGGATACATTGTATCCATAGGCATTTTGAAATTATCTGTATTAGTATCCATTACCAAGTCTATTTAAAATAATTAATTGTTAGATATATTCTCAATTTAATAATAATCAAAAAACCAATTATTTACCTATCTACTATTTATTAAATATTCCATACAATTATCTATTGAAGGATTTAAGGGAAAATTAAATTCTTTTTTCCTTTTTTCTTTTGTTATTTTTTGTTTTTCTTCATTTTCATCGTCATTTAAATTTTCAAAATTTTCTTCTGATTTTTCTTTATTTTTTTCATTTTTAATTTCATCATAATAATCGTTAGAAGAAAATATATTTTTATCTTTAAGCCTTTAAAAAAATAAATTTAAATTAAATTTAAATTAGTTAACCTTTTATTTAACCAATTTTCTAATTCATTTTGTTCTAAATATTCTTCAGGAATATATTTATTATTTATTTTTAATTTTTCTTTCTCTTCCCTGTCTTCATCAGCAAATTCCTATTTTTATTTAAAAAATTTTGATTTAATATAATAATTAAAAATTTATTTATTTAACGGTCGAACCCATTCCAGAAGATAGTAACAAAGAATGGGATTTAGAATTAATTACAAAAGCCTTCCAAATATCCTCCCTCTTTAATACCCTCCCTCCCCCGAAAGGAATTATTCTCTTATACATATTATCAAAAATAATTGAAGTTTTTACCTCAGCTTCTGGAATATTTGAAATTGGAGAATTAATATTTGACTGAAGATTTGTTGTTGTTGTTGTTGTTAGTGTCGGATCTAATTTAAATTTTATTTTTAATTAATTTAAAAGAAAATATGGCAATAAATGATCTAATAGAACTCCCTAATACAAGCTAGTCCCGCACGAAGGCAAAATAATGCCTTAACATATGGACGATGGTTTGAGTAAATTTAAAAAGATAAGGTAATAGTTCGCATGAGACCCCCCTCCTTTTTCCTTTCTAAAAGTGTTAAAAAATGGTCAGTCAGTCTTATGTTATAGAACTCGTCAAGCTGTATCGAATGACACCAAAATCAACCCCTGGTCTTAATTTTGGACCGAGATACAGACAAAAACCCTGCGCAAAGTTGAATTCCAATAAAGTTGAATTCCAATTTTGCAAAAGCGTCTCACGACTACAATATGATTATTTTATGTCATAACTTTGTCAAATCTCGTTCAATTATGTTGATTTCGATGTCATTCGAACCAGCTCGACAAGCTCTTTCGAATGAGCTATCATTTGTTTAATTAAATTTTTAGACCAAAAAATAAGCTTGGTCCACCCTATTATTTTTCAATTTTCGGGGGTCTGTATCTCGGTCCAAAATTAAGACCAGGGGTTGATTTTGGTGTCATTCGACACAGCTCATCGAGTTCTAAAACATAGGACTGACTGACCATTTTTTAACACTTTTAGAAAGGAAAAAGGAGGGGGGGTCTCATCCGAACTATTACCAAAGATAATTTTAAAAACATATGAAGAAAGTGAAGATGTTAATAGATAGATTGTGTTAATCCAAAATAAATTATTTAGTGATCGTCGTTACACTTATTTCATAAAAATTTTTCATTGAAAATGTAAAAAGAAGATACAAGAGTTCTATTAGAGAGCATTTCAGTAATTAAATATTTTAAAGAATTTATTAGTATTTATTTTTAATTTAATATTTAAATCTTTTTCTTTAAAACACAAATTTAGTTAAATAAAATTTTGACAAAAAAGATAACTATTTTAATTAATTATTTTTTTAAATCAAACCAGAATCATTTAATAATTCTTTTTCATTTATTTTATTATTTAAAATATTTAATAAATTTGTAATTATTGGAGGTTGTTTAATATTATTTGTTGTTGTTTTATTTATAGACCAAGTTCTAGATCCTTTTACTGATTTTGAAATTAAATTATTATTTAATTGTTTTTGTTCTCCTTCTTCTTTTGGTTTAAGCGAATTTTTTGTTGGTATTGTGGTTAAATTATTTAAATATAACATTTGTTGTCTGTTTCTAACATTATTAGAAAAAATAAAAATCGTATAATCTATATTAATTCCCCTTCCTCAAATAATTACCCACTTACATTAATTACCCCATCCATCCAGTTTTTCATTAAAAATAGAATATTTCCAAAAATTAAATAATTCCCCCTAAATTCAAAAATACCCTCTTCTAACCTTTTAATTAATTCTTGTTCATTATTTTCCTCAACCAAAACAGAATCACTCATTTTATTTATTTGTTTTTGATTTTCTTGATTATCTTCTATTGTACTCATAAATTTATCAATTAATTGAAAGGCTTTAACAATAAATCCACATTGCCCATTATTTAACCCGTGCTCTTTACATGCATCTTTTATGGCACTCGGATTTCTTTTTTTAATAAAATTTATTTTTTGAAAGTGAAATATTATTTATTTTAAATATCTGAAACTAGGGTTGCCGTTTTCGTGTCGAGCCGACGGTCGAGGCATTTTTTCGGGCCTAACTTTATCGAGTTGGGCCGTACGAATCACTTTCGGGCCAAATATCTTAGGCATGACTCGATCTTTCGGTCCGAGTCAGTCAATTATGGCAACCCTATACGAAAAGAAAAGAATTTTCTAAAAATAAATTAATTTACGATCCAATTGTTCTTCTCATTTTTTTATCAGAAAGAAGTTGAGCAGCTAATTGAATATTAGCAAAATTACTGTCATGTTTAAAATTGTGTGCTGCACAAGCAACGAATTTACAAATACGGGAATTTCCCTTAAATATATTTTAAAATTTAAATATTTTTAATTTTAGAGGAATAATACTGGAAAAGTTTTTTTAAAAACTTTCCAAAGCTTTCCAAATTTACCTGACATATTTGTGGTATATTATCAATACCAGAATTTCCATTATTATTATTTTCTGCTTTTAAAATTTCCTCATTAATTTCTTGTCCTGTCCCAAGAATTTCAATTTCACGTAAACGAGAAGACGATAATCTTTGAATTTCTTTTGACTTTAAAAAATAAATTTAAAAAATATTTTTTAAATAAAAAAACATTTTTAGAAGGTAAATTTAAATTATTTTGGCCAACAATTACATCATTAGCTAAAGATTTTGCACTTCCAACGAGTGGACGGACAAGTCGAAGAGCTCCATAAATTAATTCATCAAATGGGGCTATTAATGTTAATATTTTTAATTTTCAAAAAGAAAATTTTTAAATATTTATTTTTACCATTTTGTCTTCTTTGTCTTAACCCGAAATTTCTATTATTAATTAAAACACCTTCAGAAATTTTAAGAATTAAATAAAAATAAATTAGAAGAAATAAATTAAAAGAAATTAAAAAATTAAATAATTTAAACATTTTTAGATATTTTTAATTAATTTAAATAATTATTTTAAAATTAAAAGATTGTTTTTAATAATTATTGAAGGCCGCTTTTGGAAAATAACAAAGAGAAAGAATTTTTGTAAAAATGGATATATTTTATAGGGAAGATGCGTAAATCGATTTTTCTATATTTAAAAGAGGATTTTATTTTGTTGAATTATTTTTGTCTTCTTGTGAAAAGTTAAATTTTTGTGAGGATTTTACTGTTAAAATTTTTGTAAATAAGTTAAAGAAAAAATTTAAAGAATATATTTCTTAGCAAATTTTCATAAAAATTACCAATATGATTAAAGAAAATAAATGGATTTGCTAGATTCTTCAAAATAAAATTCTAATTTTATTTTTAAATGACCAATACAAATTTTTCCAAAATTATACTTTTACGGCGCCTAAGGCAAAATCTTTTGTTTAAAATTTCATCACCATACATACATACATATATCAACAATAAAAACTAAATTTTTGATATTTTTCTAGGGAAGCAAAAATAGATTTCCATCAATTCATGTAAAATCTAATACATAATTGTCAATTCTTTGAGAATTTCGAGGTTTCTGATGGACAGAATACGGTATTTTTCAAACATTTATTTATTTTATTGGCATTCTGTTAATTGTAATTTTTAATATTTAAAAAATAAATTTTCTAAAATTTTTTCTAGGGAAGATTATGAAGGCAATGGGTTTTGAACAGCCCCAACAGTCCCAACAACATTCACAAAAGAATATAAATTCTGAAATTGGAGTTTCTATTACTTCTAATAATTCATCAATTAATGGCAATTCTTCAACAAAATTAAAGAAAGAAAAAGCAACTAATAATAATAAGCTTTGGACATCGTCAAGATTGGAAGAGAAAAAACGTTTGTGGAAAAAAGAACTCGAAGAACCATTACTTGTAGGTATTTTATATTTGTAAGGGGAGGGGGAGAGGGAGAGAGGGAGAGAGGGAGAGAAAAAAAAAGAAGTTTATCTAGAATTTTTAAATTTTTTAAAAATCTTTAATTATTTTAGAAGCGAATACCCAAAAATCTGTTGACTTCACTTGGTTGGAAAAATCCAATTACAATTATTAGTCCATTTACCAATCGTAACAACAATAATCAACAACAACAACAAGCAATTGACAAAGAAGAAGCAATTAAAATTTGGAATCAAAATCCAGCCCCAAAACAATTTTTGGAGAAAACAATTATTGAACAACAACAAAAATTTATTCAAAATAAAACAAAACAAAAAGGAGGGGGAGGAGGAGGGAATTCTGGTGGGGGTGGAAAAGGAGGAATTAATAATGGACATTTAAGTCAAACACAACAACAACGTAAACAACAAATGGCAACTAATAATAGTAGGCGGGCAATGAATTAATTATTTTAATTGTTTTTTTGTTGTTTAGTGACATTCAAAAAGTTAAATAATTTTTATTTAATTAAAATCTCTGTTTAGTTTAAAAAAAGTTTAATTAAGTGTCACAATGTTTTGGTCATTTAATAATTTAGGTTTGTTGTTATTTAGACAAAAATGTGTTTTTATACGAAAACTTCAGCTTAAATTTTATGTTTAAATTTGAGACTCTAAAGACCCAATTTAATTTTAAAGGCTGTTGCTTGAAAAAAGGCACGTTTAATTTTTAAAAAGATTAAATGAAAGATGCGCAGATCGATCCCCTCCCCCCCTTATTTAGAAAATATTTTCTCTATTTTATTTTTTATTCAATAATTTTAGTCGTGTTTTAATTTAAAAATGTGTTATGGAATAGCTGGGATATTTTATTTGTTAGAATATTTTTTAAATTTTATTAAAAAATTCGGCAATCTTCTAGTTTAGTGGTCCCTAGAAAATTGAGTAGAAAATGCTCTTTCAATAATTTTTGGTCCGCCAGTAAGTGTGCTGAAGAAAATTGGTCCAGAAAGTTAACTTGGAATTCGGTAGTTCATTCTGGGGTTTGAAATAAACAAATTCTATGCTATAGCCCCCTCTGCCTATTTTAAGTTGCTGTGTGCTAATGTTCGGACCAGGAATGGGACGGGTTACCCGACCCTGGACTTTTTTCTCGACCCGTCCCTGATACGGACTCATGTCAACACACTCGATCATCTAGTGGCAAAATTCAAAAATATCTAAAGAACACCTTATATGCTAATTTTTTCTAGGGACCAGTAAACTAGAAGATTACAAGAAATTCTAACAATAACACCCGACTTTTTAGAAAATAAAACTATTACCCTTAATTAAGTGAGAATTATTAATGCAACAATTACTGTGAATGTATACTATTAAATATTTAAACAACCACCTCATTTAAAATTCCTTATCAAATTTTCCAATTTTAATTTCATTTATTTGACTAAAAAGTTAATTTTAGTCAAATAAACTTGTCTAAAAATATTTTTGTTTTTATTTTTTTGGAATAATTTTCTTTTTTTTTTTTGCTGTTTAATCGAAAGATTGTATACATTTATTTCTTTGACAGAACAAATTTTCTGTTTTATCAATAAGTAAACAAAAAATATATTTTTTATAGTCCAAATTGATTTAAAATGATTACAAATATCTAACCATGTGGTCTAATTTTCATCATTTTACGCGAAAATACAAAGTTCATTCTTATGAGAATAATTTCTTTCGAAATTTATAAAAGCTTTAAATTTCACTACTTAATTGACTTTCCAATTTTTTTTATTATTTTGTTATTTTCTTTGTCTTTTAATTTTAACAAAAGACAAGAAAATAAAAATTTAGGGACTTAATAAATCCTGACTAGAGACCGGCAAAATCGCGCTCGCGGGATCCCGCATCCGGGATTTTTTTAAAATCTTTGCGGGACGTTATCCCGCAGGATATATCCCAAAAAATCCCGCACTCCCGCAAACTACCGCAAATCGAAAAAAGTGCGGGATTTCGGGACGGGATCCCGCAAAATCTCGCGCGCGCGCGGGATCCTGTCCCGCGCCGGTCTTTAATTCTGACTTATACTCAAATGTTTCTTTTTTCCATTTTGTTGTTTGGCGATCTTTAATAACCTTTTAATGAAATATTTTTTTCCAGTAAATTTTTAATAATTTTTTTTTCAATTTTAGATTATATATTCTTATAAATAATTGTTTTATATATTTATTAGAAATATTGTATATGCGTTTAATTCAGCAAGCAGGACCGCCAGCAAATTCTGTAACTCGTTTGACCCCAGAAAAGGAAGAGGTTTTATTTTAATTTTTTAAGATTGTTTTCCAAAAAATTTATTTTCAGGAAAATATTCAAAAAACTGCTGAAGAAAATAAAGCTTTAGATTCTATAAAGGAGTTGACTGGAAATATTTATTTTGCTGTTGACAATGTAAAGTTTTAAATTATTTGGTCCTGATTCGGAAAAATTGTCCGAAGAAAACGGATTCCTGGCTTGTTTGGCACTACTGAAGAAAAGGGTGCTTTTTCTGCGGACTTTTTTTGCGGACTTTTCCTTTCTTTTTAAATGTTTTACTTGTAGCAACTAACTGTCAAAGGTCCTCCCCCCTATTATTTTTCTTACCTAAGATTGTACATAAAGGTCAGATTTTCTTCTTCCTCTCCTTCCTCTATTTGCTCTGTGGCATATTCAAACAAGAGACATTGATAAAGAGAAGATTAATTTTATACATAGTCATACACTTATTTTTTGCCTTCGAAAACAATTTAAACCAAAAAAGAATTAAATAAAATTGATTTGGTGTATAACATTATGAATTTCTGTGTAAAAATTATGAATTTCTGTCCACAATCACATATTCTTTTTCTATGAAGCATTCCGAGATCAGTGATCCATTGTTGAAATTCATCATCGGGTAATTGAAAATTGAAAATATAGTTAAAGTCAATTTTAACGTTTATAATGTTCAAATTAATGGTGAACACATATTTTTCAAATTGACATAAAAATCAATCCTTTGACCGTTAGTTGCTACAAGCAAAACTTGCTACAAGCAAGACAAACAAAACATTAAAAAAAGAAACATTTAAAAGAAAGGAAAAGTCCGCAAAATAAGTCCGCAGAAAAAGCACCCTTTTCTTCAGTAGTGCCGCTTGTTTAAATTAAAAAAATTTCCTGGGTGGCGCTAAAAGCCGGGAAATATGTTAAACTTTTCCAAAATTAAGTCTACAAAAATCGAGAAAACTGGATTATTTTCTATTCAATTTTTTTTCGTTTTAGGAGCATGACATCGATTATGGACAAAATGGATTTTTATCAGCCGATCGATTTCAATCTGGAGGTTTTTGGTTTTTTATATTTATTTGTAAGACTTTAATTTTTAGATTGTTTGCCTTTATTAAATGATAAAATCCAAGAAAATCTTGACTTGCCAAAACTTGAAATTAGTGGTTATGGGGATTGTAATGGAGCTAGAAATGACTCGGAAATTAAGAATTTTAATAATGATGTTTGGAATCTTGTTGAAGAAGGGCGAGCTTTGGAGACGAAAGGAATAAATAAAATTGAGGTAATTTAAAATGGGCAATCTTTTTTTGATTTTGAAATATCCTAATTTGAAGTGTATATTATATTTAACAAGGTTGCCAAAATGGACCAACTTGGACCGAAAGATCGAGTCAGGCCTAGATGTTAGGCCCGAAAAAGACTCGTACCGGCCCGACTCGATAAAAACAAGCCCGAAAAAATGTCTCGACCGTCGGCCCGACTCGAAAACGGCAACCCTATTTATATTGATTTTCCTCTAATTTTCAAAACATTTTTTCGACATTCCCAATGTTTTGATAAGAGTTACATACGACTTTTAAATAAAAAATATTTTTTTAGCCTAACAATAATTGGCCTTTATATCAAAGCAATCAAAATAACAAAAATATTGAAAAAGAACATTTAACTTCAAAATTAAATAATATTGGTATAAATACAATCACTACAATAGCTCCATCAATTACTTCAAACACAACAACTACGACTACATCTACAACTTTGGGAAATGATCGAATTCAAATATTCGATGGGAATAGATTTGATCGTAATGATCCACAACTTTTTGTTAGTTTTTTTTGTTTTTACGATTTTAACTTTCACCTTTTCCTGAACTTTTTCAGTATTTATCGCAACAGAATTTGTCTCCTCAAAATCGACAAAATCAAATAGATCGTGAAAGGACTCTTAAAAAACGTCGAAAACAAAATTCTAAGGATAAAAGTTTAATTATTAAGCCGCAAGATGAACCTGGTAATTTTTTAAAAATAATTTTAAAAATTCTTACAAATTTAAGGTTATGTTGGGCATAAGGATGTTGATGTTATTATGAAGGCAATGGGTTTTGAACAGTCTCAACAACGTTCACAAAAGGCTACAAGTCCTGGAAATGGAGTTAATATTGGGACTTCTATTGCTTCTAATAATTCATCAATTAATGGCAATTCTTCAACAAAAAAACAATCAAAGAAACAAAAACAGAAGGTTTTTTTTAATTTTTATATTTTTGAATATTTTTTGTAAAGCCTCGTCAACAACAAAACAAAAATAAACAAACAAATAATGGAATAAATACTCCAATTAATGTTGATAAACATGCTTCAAATACGAGTAATAGTTTGGATGGGAATGTTGTTGGAATGGATGTTGATGAGGAAATGGATGTTGAAATTGAATTGGATACTGTTGATGTTTGTTTTTTGTTTTATAAAATTAAATTTAAAAATTTTAATAATAAATACTTGAGATTGAAAAAGTGTCAATTCCCTAAATGTCAATTCCGGGTCCCAATTTCAATTCCGGTCCAAAGATTTTAGGATTTTTTCCGGACCGGATTAATCTGGAAAAATCCGGCCAGATTCGGTCTGGTTAAGGTTGCAAACTCGGGTCCGGCAAACTCGAATTCCCTAGGCACTAGTAATTTATTACAAGCATTATAAGAGTCTAGTAAAAGATAAATAACATATAGTAATATAATATTTTAGGAACAAAATCAACCAAAGCAAGAAGATATAATTGAGGACACCAATAAATCTATTAATGAAGTTAAAATTTTAGAAAATGAAAATAAGGATATTGATGAAGAAAAAATTAAAGAGGAACATTTAAAAGAAGAAAAGGAAATTTTAAATAAAAATATTGAAGAACAACAAAATAAGGACACTAACAATAATAATCAACAAAAGCAGGTTATTAAACAGAAAGAAGGAAAAGATAATATTAAAGCTAAATGGACTTCTTCAAAAGTAGAGGAGAAGAAGCGTTTATGGAAACAAAAAATTGAAACAACTCCTTTAATTGTAAGTTTTTAGTTTTTTATTTCTGGCTGGGTTATTTTTATGAATTATCTAAGGGCGTAATCAGGGGGTCGATTCAGGGGTCGATTTTTATCCGCAGGCGAAAATCCTACTTCCAATTTTTCCCCCGTTCCTCATTTCTGGGGAGGGGGGAGGTTCTCCCCTGGATACGCCCTTCGTCTTTTGGATTAATATATATTATATCATTTTTCCCGGCATTTTTAATTAAATTTTTAATTATTTTAGAAGCGAATACCCAAAAATCTGTTGACTTCACTTGGTTGGAAAAATCCAATTACAATTATTAGTCCATTTACCAATCGTAACAACAATAATCAACAACAACAACAAGCAATTGACAAAGAAGAAGCAATTAAAATTTGGAATCAAAATCCAGCCCCAAAACAATTTTTGGAGAAAACAATTATTGAACAACAAAAATTTATTCATCAAAATAAAACAAAACAAAAAGGAGGAGGAGGGAATTCTGGTGGGAGTGGAAAAGGAGGAATTAATAATGGACATTTAAGTCAAACACAACAACAACGTAAACAACAAATGGCAACTAATAATAGTAGGCGGGCAATGAATTAATTATATATTTATTTTAATTGTTTTTTTGGGTAATAGTGAAGAATTTGGGATACATTTTAAAATTTTGCTTGTTCTTTCTGAAAATCATTTTATATAGGTAATCGACTATGTTGATCACGAAGCTGATGTCAGATTTCAGGAAAAATCAAATAAAAAAGTAGGCGCGTGGCCAAGTAGGCTTCAAGATTTCCGAATCATCAAATTTAGTAATTTTCCAGCTAGTTATAGCTGAGGCCTACTTGGCCACGCGCCTACTTGAACCATGCCCATCTTTTTTCTTTGATTTTTCCTGACAAAATCTGATATCAGATTCGTGATCAGTATGGTCGATTACTTATCTAAAATGATAGTAGTATATAGTAGCCAGTTAAAACAATTTCTAAAAACAAAATTGTTTTAACTAGCTACTAAAAAGTCTAAACAACAATAAAGTAATTATCTGTAATAGATTCAGAATTTATAAGAATTAAATGTTTATTAACAAATTAAGTTTAAAAAATAAATTAGAAATTAAATTATGAATATTTACTAGTTTTATTAAGTTTAAATAAAAAACAGAAAAAAATAAAAAACGCAGCGATTGCAATGACTACCCGTACATTTAAAAATAAGCAGCGGGGTAATTATTATTAGGAAGATAAAAAGCAAATTAATTTTAAAGATTTTTGTCAACAAATTTAACTAAAAATTAAATTTTTAATTAATAAAAAATATTTAAGTGTAGAGAGAGAAGATAATAACCTTTAAATTATTACTTTTAATAATTTCTATTAAATTCCTATAACTTTATATTTCTTTCATTTATTGAAGGAGTGACTAATTCTTTATTTTATTTTAATCAGAAAAATTTTTTATTTTTCCGTTGTTTTAATACACGTTTCCATGCTTTTTGGAGAAGGCGAAAATAAAGTAATATGGAGAGAAAAGAAAATTTTTTATAAGTATTCTGGCCCAAAGTAAGGAACATGAATGTCTTTGTAGCCCTTTAAAAAGAATAATTTATTTTAAATTTATTTTAAAATAACACCTTTAGCCAATAAGTGGTTTGTTTGCCTTTTCCTTTCATTTCTACTTCAACACGTAATTCTAATTGAAAATCTGAATTTTTAGCAAGAATTTATCTTGTATCAGAAGAAACGTGGATACGAAGAGCTTTAAAATAAGAACTGGTTATAAAAAATAATCTTTATTTACGTAATCCATTGCTTTCCATTCTACTTAAAATATTTATTGTATCCCCAAACAGACAATATCTAGGCATTTTAGATCTAATAAATTCGGCTACAACAGAACCTAAAAAAGAGGGAAAAATAATTTGTAAATTAATCTTTTGCCTGAATGAATTCCAATTCTTAATTTTAATTGTTCATTGGGTCTATGCCTTATTGTAAAATTTTTGACTTTATGTGATAAAGCAAGAGACATCTAAAAAATAATTTAATTTTTATTTCCAAAAATTCTCTCTTTACTTGTGCAATTTGAGAAACATGATCATCTCTCCTTTCAGGCAAACCAGAAACAACCATATAAGCATCCCCAATAGTTTTAACTTTATAAACTTTAAGATTATCAACAACGCTCAGTTTTTAATATATGTTTGCCCTGTAAATTAAATTATTTGACAGAAAAATTTAAAAGGAGCTTGGACAAATAATTTTTTATGTAAAAACTAAACAAATTGGGCAAAGTAAACAATCGAAGTATAGTAATTTTTCTACAATTTCACAAAAATTTTTAAAACTCAATTAAAACTAATTTAAAAAAAATGACTAAAACAATTCGCTTGAAGAAGGATTTTCTGTTGTGATTCGAAATATAATTAAAATTTTGAGAAATAATCTCTCAAAATATTTTTTCTAAAAATAAAATTAAAATTAACAAAAAAGCTCACAATCTGTCATAAATCTTTTGACGTCGCTGTAAATATATTTTTCATGTTTCTATGTGATAAATTTTGGTTTTGTAATTGTTCTAATAATTGTAATTCTTCCTCTCCTTGTTTTACTTACAATTCTCTTGTTTTTCTTAATTCTCGACGTTGTGCTGAATGTTTGGCCAAACTCTCCCATAAGTGTCGAAAAAATCAAATTCTAATTAATTTAAATAAAAGTGCAAAAATTAGTGAATTGGTTAACATCGGTTATATAGAATGCAATTAAAATTCTAAAAATGGATAAAAATTAAAGGAATGCTGTGTAAAAATCTTAAAATTAAAAATATACAAATAATCTATAGAGTGAATCCAAACTGAATAAAGAGAATTGAGATTATGAAGAAGGGGGGTGGAGGGTGATTGGAAAACTTTGTTCATTTTTTGTTGTTTCTTTGAAGGACAAAAATAGTTCTTTTTTAAGGATAAACTGACAAATAATTAATGACACATAGTCGTTAATATAGTGATTAAGTGGCATTTTTTACTGAAAAAACAACTGAAGAAAGATATCTTTGCCCTTTTTTTGTTTATATATATATTTTTAGAATACAATTTATGCAATTATGCGGTGATTGACTTTATTACTCACTGGAGAAAATCACAACACAATACATAAATTGTATTCCAAAAATATCTCTAAACAATAAAATGACAAAAAATGGCAAAAAATATGGCAAAAAATAAGAAAAAAATGTAAAAATTTTGTATATAAAATGAAGAAAAATGAAAAAATATATTATTCTAATAAATAAAAATACTTTTAAAAAATAAAACTTTTATTTTAATCCAAATATTTTTTGTGAGGGGTATCTTATATTGAAGTGTATATCTTATATTGAGGGGTATCTTATATTTAGGTTTTTATTATCAATAATCAGTTGCTATATCTAATAATGAAGATGTTTGGTAAAAGGAAGAGGATGACCGCTTTGCAAAAAGCTGAGAATAGATTCCGTATTCAAATGGATCGTACCGTCGGCGGGGAGATGTACTTGAAAAAAATACGGAACCGACATATTCGTTGTCATATGTGTGAAGGGCGTGTTGGTAAACAATACATTAAGCACGTCTACGGGCATCTTGAAGGCAAAAAGCTGTACAAGTGCCCGACGTGCGACGAGGTATTCATAGGGGCATCTTTATTAGAAATTTAATTTAAAGGGAAGCCATATAAAGAAAATGGTCAAATTACACATGGATCAATGCCATCCTGAAAAAGGAGGGATGGCATCGGTAGTTGACTGTAGATATATATATATTGGGCTAATTCGGGTAACATTTAATTTGTTTATTTTATAATATTTAAAAATTTTTCAGGATACAGTTAAAGAGTGCTTCCCTTTGTTATTTGTTAACATTGCGCCTCCGAAGATTTTAGTAAGTCTAAAGTAAAATTTATATAATAACTAAAGAGAGGGGATATATCATATTTTAGGGGCACCTTTACACTTAGTCTTTGTAATTAAGATACATTATTTAATGCTGATTCGAATGGTATATCAAATCCTCCAATCGTACATATTCTCATCGAGAAAATCTACCTTGAAGATTGTCATTAAAAAGTAAATTTTTTAAAAAGGATGTGATTCAGCAAAGATCCGACCACTTTGATCTTGTTTATGATATTTTAGAATATGAGAAAGAGAAGAAAAAGAAAAGGGAAGAAAAAAAGAGAGAAAAGGCGAGAGCCCGAAGTTTAAGTCCTCCGAAATGCCGGCGTGTGCACTTTGCCGATGACGACCATTATGGTGGATATTAAATATATATATATTAATTTATATTCATGTATATTTAGATCCTGCAGTCGGGCCTCGCTTTATGCCTTCCTCGGATGAAGATGGTGAAAAATTAAATTTATAAGCATTAAGTGTGTTCTTTACTAGTACCACCCCCCTTAGTTGAAAATTTTTGATTTTGCAAGTAGCGTAGCATTGTCGGGAATTATAGCTTAGAAAAGAATGTACCTACCGTATTTTCTCGATTAAAGCCCCTCCCTCGATTAATTACCCATGTCAAGGAAGGATTGAAAAAATAATTCCCCAGGGGAATTAATCGAGAAAATACGGTAACCATCATAAGACAGACATTATTAAAAATAGATTTTTAGATTGATACATGAGAAAAAGAAGGGGAGAAAAAAGAAAACTAAAGAATTAAATGTTTTTTTAAAATGATTAAAGTAAAAAATACACATGCTTTATTTTTATGGCCTTTTTTAACAATAGTATATATACAAGAATTAATTAAATTTTATTGTAAAGACACCGTTTTTCCTTCCAAAAGTGATCAACCACACTTACTCAATTTCACTTTAAAATCGGTCGCTTATATTTCCCAATAATGTTTTAATTATTTATTAATACCACCTATTAAATATGCCTCAACGAATTAGAGTGAAACAGAGGAAGGAAAAAAGGCTGCCTAATTTGACATATTTTTTGATTGACAAAAAATTTTTCCTTAATTAAATTAATTTTTTCAAAAAATATTTCCACAAAAATTTTTCCTCCATTTTTGCAAAAGCAGGCCAACCATTTATCATTCCATTAATTATAAAGGTAATACAGGCAAATAATAATTTTTGTAGAAAAATTCGAGTGAAGGAAGTTGCTCAATTTGAATCAGTAAAGAATTGGGAAGAGGTGATGGAGATGTTGCTGTTGGAAGGCTTTAAAAAGAATTTTTGTTAACAGAAAGGAAAATTTTATTAGGTTTACCGTTATATTCTCCTAGTCCGCAAATTTTGTCCGCAAAAATTCAATTGACGTCAAAGGCGAGTCTTTGATTTTTAAGTTTACTAGACCCTGGATGAACCGGGAAATAGTCGAGAAGGGGTTTTATTTAAGTTTCTTCAGATTTCATTTCGGATCGAAAAGGTCTGGATTTTGGGAAGGGCGAAAGACCCATTAAAAATCACTCCAGAAAAAATACACATACAAGCTACAAAGGAATATAAAATTTGCGGGCAAAAATTTTTGCGGACAACCCGAAAAATCCGTGTAAATAATATATTTAAAAAATCATTAAAAATAAAAGAAAAACCTGTTGATTATTTTGTGTAAATAATTCAGGCGGTGGAGGTAAAAATAACAGCAAAGTTGAGAAGCAAATTTTGAAAGGCTTTCATCCTCCAAATCACGGCCCTTAAGTAATCCTTCATCACAGAAACGTAAAGACGACTTAAACGAAAAGGTTTTTAATTAAGAAAAAATATGTAGATTTTTGAAATTTCAAAAGGGTAAGAACAAAAAGGTAAAAAGTCAAAAATTCATTTAAAGAATTCCAAATGAATCAAGTCAGACACGTCTAATTTTAGTTAGAAATGAAATATCATGGCTTTAAAATAAATCTAAAAATAAATACACCCATGAGGGTTCGAACCCACGACCTCCCTTAATTTATAAATAATAGTCATTTAATCAAAGAGAATTTTTAAATTATTTTAAAATAAAAAATACCAAATAATCTTCACATAAAAAATCCAATTTAGCCATAAGTGCACACAAAAAAGAATAAAATAAACGCAAACGATCAGGCACATTTAAGAAATGTCCAGTATTTAACCAGGAATCACAAAGGCGTTCTAATTGATAAATGTTGACACGAAGTGAATTTAGAGATTCTTTTGAAGGTTTTTCTAAAAAAAGTGAGTTAAAAATTAAAAAATAAAATTAAAAAAATAATCGGGGAAGAAGGGGGTGGCGGTCGAACCGTCTGGGAGAAAATATTTTTGAAATGGTTTTTTAAAATAAAAAAGGGTAGAAATAAATTAGATCGATAGATTTCTAAGTTATAAATTGAAAAAAAACTAAATAGAAAGCTAAAAACTTAAGTTAACTAATAAAGGGGGGGGGGGTGAAAGTTCGAACTCGTTCAAGGCTCTTAAATATAAATTTACCCAGAATTTCACTAAAAATACGACTATAATTTTAAAAAAATAATTTAAAATTAAAAAAACCTTCACTTTTCCCATTTGCCAATTTATCCAATTCTTTGCATTTCAACAGCTACATTCATTATCCATAGGAAGGCCATTAAAGGGTTTGTACAAAACAGGATGGAATTCAGCCAAATTACTTAAATTGTGTAAAAGCATTGGAATTTTTTGGAAGATCAGACATACTCAAATTCTAAAAAATTGTTGAAAATTTTTGGAGTGAAAATGAGCAAAAATCTAAAAAAACGGGTAATCCTTACTTTTATGGCAGGTTTCAAATTTATCAAAATAGTACTTTTTTCCCAATTTTTTAGGGGCCGGTAAAAGAAAGGATTACCAAAAAACATTAAATAAAGCCACTTAACCAAGAGTAAAAAATCCGCTAAATTCTTAAATAATAAAAAACAAAAAGGAAAAAGAAAATTTTAAAAAATATTTCGGGCTATTAATTATTTATCAGGCGTTATATAACTTTTTTGATTCCCAACCGATTTAAATAATTATTATTCAAACGAAAGCTCTGGATGTAAGGATATGTTAGCTAACAGGATTAATTTGATCAGACCATTCTACAGAAAGTTACAGCCGAATTTCACAAAAGGAGATGAACATCCTTATATTGAATGAGTTATTAAAAAGTATTTCAGTTAATTAAA